ACTATCCCCTCTCCGCCCCCTCTGCGCCGTTCCACCCCCGCCCCCCCGCTTCCCTCCGTGCGTTTTGCCTCTCAGTCCTCCTTCTCGCACGTCCATGCGGACCCCCCCCCCACTCACGCAGACGCACTGCGCTCGGGCGCTCGAGCCCCCCGGCCAGGCCGCTGCACTCCGCTCCCTGCCACCCGCTCCACTGCCTGAGATTATCGCACGCCTTAGTCCGCTGCAGCAGTCCCTGCCACTGACTTGCGCCGGGCAGTAATTACTATTACCTCAGATGCCAGGTTGTGCCATTCCAGCTCTTCTCACCCTTTACCACCACCGTTATACGAAGCACGCGGTAGATGGCGTCCCTTTGCGCCAGACCACGTCCGAACCCAAATCCTCGGGTTCTTGAGCTCCGTCCCGTCCAGGGTGACTATGACCTTCTCCTCTTCTGTTGAGAAGGGTACCTGGCCGCACCTCAGCGATCTGCAGTAGACGGTCCCGTCCTCTATGAGCACCCTGCAAAACTTCACGTTGCCCACTTGCCTCATGTGGCGTGGTCATTCAGATCCCGCCGGTCCACGGCATAAGACAAGTTCCCGACGTAGGCCTGGTTTGTAGCTGGTGGCGTCGGCTCGTCCACACCTCGCCCCGCCTGCTGCCACTGCTGTTCCTTCTCGCACTCCCTGCCCGCACAGCGGCTGGCCGGCGGCGTTCCGTTGCGCGTGTTTAGCGCGTACCTGTCCACCCACGCCCTGCCCTCCTCCTCCCCCCACGACGCTGGAAGACATAGCCTGTTCCTTCTCCTCCTCGGCTGTGTATATGCGCCTTCGTTCCTCCACCCGGTTCTCGTAGCACTGCCCGTCCTTGATGCAGATCGCGATGCTGTCGTGCAGGTGCTGGATACCAGGGTGCCGTATGGCGTGTGGACCGGCTTCGCATTTGTCTGAAGTGCCCTGGGTGTCACATCGGGCTGTCTTGCTGCGAGTAGATTGCACGCCATGTCTAGTAGCGCCTGGATGTCGTGGTTGGGAGGTGGCGTCGCTTCTTGCACTGCGCCTGTGCTGCTACTGCCTGAGGTGCCACTGCCCTGAGCTGCCACTGCCTCCGATGCCTGGACTGCCACTAACTTGAGCTGGCACTGCCGCCACTGCCCGACCTGCCACTACCGCTGCCGCCTTGGTGTCTTGGCCGCCACTGCCGTCCCCTCTGGCACCGTAGCTGATGTCGTCGGGCTCGTGCTTCACTGTACCACCCTCGTGGCTGATGGTGTTGGGCTCGTACTTCGTTGTGCCACTCTCGTGGCTGACGACGTTGGGCTCGTGCTTCCCTGCGCCAACCCCGTAGCTGATGGCGTCGGGCTCCTCGTGCCTAGCGACACCACCCACGCGACTGATGACGTTGGGCTCGTGCTCTGCGCCCCCCTCCCTCCTCCTCTCCTCCTCTGTGCGGTCCGCGTGGCTTAAGCGACCAAGTGCACATGCACACCGGACGGCGTGCAAACCTGCCATGAGTCTGAACACGGTTCGGACACGGCGTTCCGCGTGCCAGCCTGCAGCCCGGATTCCACAATAAAACGGGGGTGGTCTGATCTGGCGGGGGTCTGATTGGAGCTGTCTTGGAAGATGCCGAGGGGGTCTGGGCAACAGGCCGCCCTTTCGCGGCCAGTCTGGGGGGGTCTAAAACAGCTCGTCTGGGAGGGTTGTGACCCCCTCCTTTTTTATGACGAACTCTGCGGTAGCTGATGACGTATAGTATCCAACCTCTGCCGCCATGGCCCCACCTGCCGGCCCTTCTCGCACCGAGACTGGCCCTCCTCCCACCGCTGCCAGCCCGTCTCGCACCACTGCCGCCCCGCCTCGCACCACTGCCGGCCCGTCGCGCACCCCTGCCGGCCGTTCTCGCACTCCTGCCCGCGCGTCTCGCACTGCCTGTCCTTTCACGCACCACTGCCGGCCCTTCTCGCACCACTGCTTGCCCTTCTCGCACAGGGGGACCGGCCACAACACTGATGACGTCGGGATCGTGCTTCGCAGCCCCACTGTCGTAGCTGATGGCATTGGACTCGTGCTTCGTTGTACCACCCTCGTAGCTGATGGCTTTGGGCTCGCGTTTCGCGGGACCTCCCTCGTAACTAGATGATGACGCTGGGCTCGTGAGTCGCCCCGCTCGTCTCGCAGTTGTCGACATGGGGTTCGCGCTTCGTGACAACACCCTCTTAGCACACGGCGTGGGGCTCGTGCTTAGTTGTGCCTCTCTTGGAGCTGATGGCATCGGCCTCTGTCCGCATAGGGCTTGTAGCTAATTGCATGTGGTGCTCACTGGCTGCTGCCACTGTTGGTCCTTGCCACACGCGTAGTGCAAGGGCTGCCAGCACTCCATGGTCTGCTTGTTTCTGCTGCCAGTCCTCCTCCTTCTCATCGCTACTCACTCCTCCTCGTCCTCACCATTCTCCCCATCCCCCCTCCTCCACCGCCTTCTCCTCCACGCTCAACCTCCCTCCTCAACTCCCCTCCCCTCTCCGTGGCGCGACGACGCGCGCGTATGCACTTCGTCAACTTCTGTTGCAAGGGATTCTTGTAAAATTATTATATTTGACGAACGATTCTGCGCGCATGGTCTGTTTTACAAAGGAGGAGGGGGGGGAAGTGTTACCGGCCTGGCTGGGATGGTATGACTTCATATCTCGGATGGACGATGGGGCAGAATCGTATGCAAATTGCATTGCGAAAGGTGGAGCGGATCCATCAGAGGGGTCGACCCTAGTACTCTTTTAAAAAAGAAGACCTCTGTTGCGCAATCCACGGCGGCGACGGGGCGGTGGCGGCGAGTAGAAAGCCGCAAGACTGTCCACACGGCCCAGACTACGGCCGGCGACGAGGCGGGAAGGGGCGGCGACGGCGAAAACATAGCCGCCAGACGGGCCACACGACCCAACTCCTGAGAACACGAAAACAAAAACCCTAAACGCAACCGGTTTGGGGAATAGTTGACCGATTCTGGGAATCGCTCCGCCGTCAAACTTTGGATCTCTCGGAGGGCAAAATTTCTACTTCCGCCAACGTCCGCCGGCCGTCCGCCGACACGGCGCCGCCCCCGCTGCGCTTCCGCCGCCGCCCGCCGCCTCGCGCCAGAGGAGGAGATGCCCACCGTCGAGGCTCGAAGGCCAGGCCCCGTCGGGAGCGCCTCGGTGGTTCTCCAGAGGTGAGGCCGCCGACGGCGACGACCTGGGCGCCGCCCGCCTGCTGCCCAGGTGCTCCTCCGACAGCTGGCTCCCGTTCAGCACGGAGCCCGCGGCGCCGACGAGCTGCGAGCATTTGTCGTGGCGGTCGCCGACGTCGACATCGTCGTCGTCGTCGCCGCCGCCGCCGCCGCCGTCGACGTTGTCGTCGTAGTCGTCCGACTTTCGAGGATCAAAGATTTAAGACAACATGAACTCGCGACGAAAATGGGAAGGGGGTGTCAAGAAACTGGCGATCATGCTCTGGAGCCCATCAAGGGAGAGTTGCAAAACAACGACGACGACAAATCAAACTATATTCAACAGGGTGCAAAAGCCACGACGACACGCCGGATCGCAGAAATTCGAACGACGACGATATTACAACGAAGAAGACGGATGGAATGCTGACGACGGCGCGGCCTCCCGACCCGTGAGTCCCCTCTGCCGATCAGTGAATTGACGACGGCGCGGCCAGACAGCCCCCAAGTCGCTCCCTGCTGGAGTCGCGCTCGTGATGTTTGGACGGTCTCCCCTTTTCTGGGGGCCTCGTGGAGGCTCCTCGTCACCACGGAGGCGGGTTCCCATCGAGATTCCGGTCAGAGCGCACCTCCAGGACGGGTCGCGGGGAGCCGATTTTGATCCCCAGGCCCCAGATTTCCTCATCATCCTCGCCTCCTCCGCCCTCGCCTCTCGTCTCGCTGTCCTCCTCCTCCATCCGCCGCTCCTCCTCCTCCGCCTCCTTCTCCTCCTCGCATCTCGCCTCCCGCTGTCCTCCTCCGTCGCCTCCTCTGCATGTCTCCTCTCTCCTTCGCGGTCAGATCGGGAAGGTAAATAAGGGAACGAACTCTATACACCGACACTCGTTCCAGCCCCAAAGCGGATACTGATGTACACGGGATCCTAGTGTGTACATTTTGGGCTGCTTCTCCGGGGAAGCGGGGAAACAAGTAACCACCAAACCACCCCGACGTCGTCCCTGATCCTCAAAAAGTCCTGGGGTTGGGAAACCGCCCGCCACTTGTAATGAATGTGTTCCAGTTTCCGAGCAAGCCGTCATGAAGAAGAGGATGCCTACGCAGACCAACGCATCACGTGCGAAGCGCCTGGCGACAAAACAGCATCTCTGCGCACCTGTTGCAGTGCTCGAGCGCCGGCCTAACTTTGGAGCCAGATGCCTTGACACGGGTGGTGAAGGGGCCCTGGGACACACAAATAAATACACACAAATAAAAAGATTCCCCGTAGTTTCCGATATATTCTGGGTTTTTGTCTTCCCCCCCACTTCCCATATTTTCAAATATTTTCTGGGGAATCGAAGATTAATTGTGTCTGTGTGTGTTTTTCCCTCCTGCGGTGGGGACGGAAATCTGCTGGAGGACATTGGAGCTGGCCTGCGGCCCCTCGTGTTCTCACCTTCGCCGCCGAGGAAGCGGCCGAGGTCGACGAGCAGCCAGACGCTGCTGCAGAGAAACGGCCCCCAGGGGCGCGGAAGAAGCGCTCGACGCGCTCCACCTCGCGCTCTCGCGGGAGGCGGCCTTCGAGGCCGAGCGCACGGCAGTGGAGCTCGGCATGAGGCTGATGCAGCTGGAGTCTCAGTGCAACCCCAGATGGCTCCCGATTTGGGTGCTGGCAGGGGCGCAACCAGTATCGATGGTGGCGATCCCCCCTGGCAGCGTGGGTGTCCGCGCTGGAGGCCTGGCTCCTCCTCCTCCTCCTCCTCCTCCTCCTCCTCCTCCTCCTCCTCATCTTCCTCTTCCCCTTCCTCAGACATCGGGCCGCTCCAACTTCTTCGATGCGTGGGCCCAGCAGGTCTGGACCACTTCCCTCTGGCCAGTTTTTTACGCCCCGAGCCGTCTTCTTGACGGCCCCCAGGCCCGGCGAGGGCCCCCGGAGGCCGAGGCCAGCCCCATGACCCGCCGCTCCAGCTTTCTCGGACCGTCCGTCGGACCTCCGGGCCCTCCCCCTCCCATAATAAGGGCGGGGGCACGCCCTCCCCGCGGGCGGGGGCGCCACCCCGCGCCCCGCCGGCTCTGGCCCCCCCCCGGGCACGCCCGGCTCCGACGGCCCCCGGTGGGCCCCGCCCCCGCGGCACGGTGGCGGAGTTACTGAAGGGGCCCTGGGACACACAAATAAATACACACAAATAAAAGGATTCCCCATATTTTTTTTTCATATTTTCTGGGTTCTTGTCTTCCCCCCCACTTCTCATATTTTCCAATAGTTTCGAAGGAATCGACGATTAATTGTGTCTGTGTGTGTTTTTTCCTCTTGAGTTACGCACAGCGCCGGCGCAGCTGGACAGGGCCATCGCGAGCCCGGTTTTTGTTTTGAGGGGACACTCGGGCAACTGCGCCGTTCCTGCGCGCGCTTCTCGTCCGAGGCTCACTTCGGGCTCGAGCGCCGCCCCCCCCTCCCGCCCGTGCAGGTAAACCTGCCGGAGCCAACGAAAAAACAGGCTCCCTGCTGCTAGAAGGAACGCTGCATATAGGGACCGAGGGACTGCTTTGGCCACGGCGGGCCTCGGCCACGAAGAGGCTCCCCGGCCTCGCTCTCGGCAGGGGCCCGGGATGACTACCTACCAGACCACCCCAACCCAACCCGAAGACCCGAATTTCGGGTTGGGGGGGGTAAGGGTTCCACATGTGTTTTTTCGATGTTTCCCGACCCCCCCCCCCACTGGAAATCGAGGGTAAATCTGAGCCTTCGGGTTGGGTTGGGGTGGTTTGGCGGGTGGTGACGGGAGGCAGGGCCCCCCCCTGAGTCCACAAAAAAGCGGCCCTCGGTCTCGGCGTCTTGGCCGCGATGGCGCGCGGAGCCATGCCGCAAAGTGTTTTTTTCAGACTCCGCGCGGGCTCCTCCATCTCGTTGGCAGGTGCTCTGTGCGCTGCAGCCCTGCCGCCTGTCATTCTGGAGGGGGAGGGAGGGAGGATACTCAACAAGAGTTGACACATGCTAAAGAATACTCCAGAGAGATCGGCCCCATACAATTTTTTACTATCCCTGTATACTCCTCCTGTAGAGGGACACGCCCGACTTAACCCTGGGGCCGTCCGGCCCCCCAAACAGCTTCTGTCTGGGTTAGCACAGCAAAAGCTCTTCGGCCCGAGAAGCAGGTAGGGGGACAGCCCTGGGCAGTGCAGCCCAAATGTGGTGGCGATGCAGTTCTGTGATGCAACTCGCACCCTGCAGTTACGACACCTGTCTGGCCTTGACCAGGCCACTCTACATCATTCAAATGGCCAGCTGCCTTAGAAGGGCCCTCATTGAGTCGAACATGATCCCCATGGCAAGGTCTATCTACACCCATGATCAACATAGTGAGGTCCCGAGGTGATCAACCGCTCGTCCAAGGTCAGCTGCCCGTCCCTGGCTGCGCATACCCCTCATCAAAGGAAACAAGTCCACCCTGGAGGGACAGAGAAAGGTACCCATGACCAAGGCTGACCTCGGAAACTTCAGTGTCCACCTTGGTCTTCATAAATCTTGGTCACTGACAACTTGTGGATCATCCTCACAAATCGGCGACGGCCGGCATAGACCATGACCAAGACTGGCGTCGACCAGATCCCGCGACATCTTGGTCATAGTCAGCGTATTCCTTCCATCAACACCCTCCTTATCAAAACATCGGCGCTCAGAGGTCCTGGATGCCATCGCTGCCGCAGCTGGCGGTCAGGGTGAAGCTGCCGCGCTTGGCCTTCAGAGGGCTCGGAGAGCACCGGCAGCCCATCAGAGGTGCTCAGAAAGATCGAGGCCAATAATGATGGACACGAGCTGAAAATGGACGAGGGATCAGTGGATCTGGCGCATCGGCGCCAGATCCACGGATCGGGGAAGGGTACCACCCAAAACGCAAGGACAGTGCCGTCTGATTTGGCGACGGATCGCGCCGGTTCTGTATGGACATGGGGCCCGTCGCTAATATTCGCGTCTTAATCCATTTTGCACTTCCTCCATCCACCACAGTGCCCCATGCCACGTTGAAGCGTGTTAGAATTCCAGGTTCTGCTCAGCAGCGTTTCTCAAGTCTAGCAGGCCTTCCAAACCCCTCGTACCAGAGTGCCGCGTGGATCCCCTCTACCCCTCTCGCCCTCCCGAGGCCACGATCGCTAGTAGAAAACAGTAGGTCCGCTTTCCCAAGGCCACGATCCCTGGCTAAAAACAATTGATCCGCGTCCCGAGCTTGGCCTTGGAAGGCCCTTCGACGGCCCAAGACGGCGCCAAGACGGCACCACGGCGGCCCTCAGACACCCACCAGAAGGCCAAGAGGGCCCCAACACGGCCAAAGAGGCCCCCAAGATGGCGTAATGGATCCCAAGGCGGCCCAAGAGAGCCCCAAGGGACCCGTACTGCCTGGAAGGAGGCTGAGGCAGCCCCAAGACGGCCCAAACGAATTCCATGAGATCCCGTCACATAGTGAGACGGAAGGTGCCCCCTGAAATGGCCTTCCTCTTCCTCCTCGTCCTTCTCCTCCTCCTCCTCCTCCTCCTCCTCCTCCTCCTCCTCCTCTCCCTCCTCCTCTCCCTCCTCCTCCTCCTCCTCCTCCTCCTCCTCCTCCTCCTCGCCATCAGCAGCATCATCATCATCATCATCATCATCATCACCATCATCACCATCATCATCATCATCAGCAGCAGCAGCATAATCATCATCATCATCAGCAGCAGCAGCAGCATCATCAGCAGCAGCATCTTCTTCCTCCTCCTTCTCCTCATCCGTCTCATCATCATCATCATCATCACTACCATCCGCATCATCAGCATCATCAGCATCATCACCATACTAATAATCATCACCATCATCATCATTAGCAGTACTAGCATCAGCATCCTCATCATCACCACCACCAGCATCATCACCAACAATCTCTTCATCAACATCATGAAAATCACAACATCCATCACCATCACCATCACCGCCACCATCATCATTATCACCATCGCCATCATGCTCACCAACATTACTATAAGCATGATTTGCATCATCATCATCATCATCATCACCACCATCATCATCATCACAATAGCCGTCATGATTATCATCACCGCCATCAGCAACATATACATGGCCAAACACATCATCATCACCATCATCATCATCACCGTCATTATCATTACCACAATCACCCTTACCATCACCGTCACCATCAACATCGTCACCCGTCTTATTGCCAGCGTCAAAATCGGCATCAACATCACCAACAACACCCTACTCATCCGATCCCATATCATCATGATCATCAGCATCATCGCCATCATCATCACCATCACCATCACCATCACCATCACCATCACCATCACCATCACCATCACCATCACCATCACCATCACCATCATCACCATCATCATCATCATCATCATCATCATCATCATCATCATCATCATCATTATCATCAAAATCACCTCACCACCATCATCACCATCACAAACACCGTCGCCGTTACCAGCATCATCACCATCAACACCATCGCCATTACTACCATCGCCACACCAGCAGAAACAATCACCCCCGTCACTCCCAGCGGCTCTCTCACGCCTTGGGGCACGAGGTGGTCAGACCCGACGGCCCCTTTCGCCCCCTCGAACAGTCGCCACCCCAAATGCTGTGCTGGCAGGGTGGCGGGCCTGAACCCCTCGAGATCGCGGCCCACTCCCCCGCGGGGAGGCGCAGGGCTCTGGCACTGAAGGGCCCCAACACTGGCCCTGAGCGCGCCCCGACGGGGCGCGAGGTCCCCCCTCATCCTGCTCCTGCTCGAGCGCCGCGTGTCACGGCGGCGGTCACATTGCAGACTGGAGCCGGCGCATCCCCCTCAGCCCTCAGTTCCTCCACCCTCCTCCCTTCTCCTTCAGCCCCTCCCTTCTCCTGCGCATCCATCGCCCCCTCTAACCGTCCTTCCTCCTCGATGCCGCTCCCTCGGCCTGCCCCCCTCTCCCTCTCCGCCATCCTCCCGCCCTCCCTCTCTCTCTCCCTGCCCTGTGCCTCTGCTTCTAGATCCTCCCTGCCTGCTCCTCCTCCTCCCCCGCCTCTCCCCTCCCCTCCCGCACCCATCCCTTCCACTCCCGCACGCACCCTCCTCCTCCCTCCTCCCCATCCCATGGTGGAGCACGGGCTGCGCCCAAACGCCCTCGCTCGCCCACGACCTCCCCTATCCTTCTCTCTCCTTCTGCCCCGCTGCTCCTGGTGCATCCTTCCTCCCTTCGCCCCTCCCCTCTCAGATCCCTGTGCCCCTCCGTCCTCCCCGCTCCTCCTGGCCGGCGCTCTTCCTCTCTCGCCCACTCGTCGCATGTTTCTGTCTGTTCTGATGGGAGTGCTGTTCTGCCGGGCATGCGGGCGGTACGCCACAAGACCGCCCAGCAGATCGGTGAAGTGTGCCCGATTGCGCACGCTCTGAAGGCAGGCAGTCGCCTGGCCCCACCGTCCTGGCTTGATCCGGAGTGCTCAGATGGTCCTCCTCCTCCTCCTCTCCAAATCATCCCTGCTCCTCCTCCCTCCTCCAGACTTCTCGATCCCCCCTTATTCCCTACTCCTCCATCCTCCTCCCTACCCCTCCCTACTCATTCTCCTTCCTTCCCCCACCTCGCGCGCTCGCGCGCGAGCTCGGAGGGAGAGAGGGAGGGTGATTGGGAGGGACAGGGGAAGAGGGAGGATGGACGAGTAGAAGGAAGAGGATGTCGGCGACGACAGCGATGATGACCACTGCGGCGGCGACGAAGAAGAAGACAACGACGGGGCCTGCTTATGGCCGCGCTTGTGGCGGAGCGGGCGGAGGCTCAGGCGAACGTTCAGGTCCTGCGTGCCCTCGGGGATGACGACCGAGGTATCGCTGCCTCTGCGAGGAGGCGGCCGGAGGCGGAGGAGCACCACGGAGCAAGAGGACGAGAACGGATGCAGGCGGCCAGGACCAGACAGAGGAACGAAACGAGGTCACGGGTCCGGACTCGCGGCGGCGGCAGCGGAGGCAGCAGAGGGCGGCAGCCCCTGCCACCGTCCCGGCGAGAAGGACGAGCTTCCTCGAGAGGAGGAGGGGGAAGAGGATGAGGACGAGGACCAGACAGACGATGAGGAGGCGATGGAGGAGGACACTCCAGGCGCTTGGACCCCAGGATGAACAGCCGGTCGCAAGGAAGGGGCCAGAGCTCGGGAGTTAGCGTCACGAAAAAAGCATAACCTCGGAAGCCTGCGGAGGAGCGAGAGAAGAAGCCGGGGGGGGTAAGGGGGATGAGGAATGAGGGCGAGGGGGTGGAATGGCAGCGCCGTGTGCCTGTACCTGGGCCATGGTCCGAGGTCCACGGAAGATGAGGAGGAGGAGGAGGAGGTGCATGGGGTACACACAGATTATGGAAGAGGGAGCACAGAGGAGAGAGGGGGGGAGAGGCGGCAGGAGGGAGGGAGGTAGACAAGGAAAACGACGAGAGAGGGGGCGAGGAGGATGAGTACTACGAGGAAGAGGGTTGGGACGAGATGGAACGTTGGACAAGGATAGGGTCCGACAGTGCATCACGGCGAAAGTGAGCCAGCGTGTGCCTCGAAAAGTGAGTCAATGCACTGTAAAAAGGGGGCTGTACGCGGTGGCGTTATGAGCTATGTGGTGCAAGCTACGTCGTAAGCCATGCGGTGAAAACTGGGTGGTGTGAGCTGTGCTGTGCAAGCTATGTGGTGAGAACTATGCGGCATGATCTGTGGTGCAAGCTATGTGGTGCAAACGATGTTGCGTGAGCCATGCTGTGTAAGCTGTGCTGTGTGCGCTGTGTGGTGTGAGCCATGTGGGAAAACTGATGTAGCGCCCACGAGGTGCCCACGCGGCGCCGACGAGTTTTGCTGTTTCACCCTGGCCACACGCCCCGCCTCAAACGCGAGAGGGCGCACGGTTCACGGGCTCCCGCGGAACCCCCCCAAGCCAGCCCCCACTGGGCCAGCACGAGCAGCGGCTACTTACCGTCCACTACTTCGAGTGCCAATCCATGGCAAACCGTTGGGATCGGGGATCTTCTGACCCGGGTCAATCCAGACCCGGGTCAGCAGGACACCAAAAACTGCCATGCAGGAAAAGACAACTGCAACGCAGATCTTCGCAAACCCGGGTCGGCCGATGTGCGCGGCCGCCTCGCGGCCACGACGCGGCTCGCTTTAATCCGGGTCAGCCAGAGGGGGCCTTCGCAGGATCCTGCAGGCTCTGGTGCCCTGGCGGACCCCCGTTTGCATTGACCCCCGTCTCTTAGGCCCCGAGAGGAGGAGGAGGAGGAGGAGGAGGAGGAGGAGGAGGAGGAGGAGGAGGAGGAGGAGGAGGAGGAGGTGGAGGGGGAGGAGGAGGAGGAGGAGGAGGAGGAGGAGGAGGAGGAGGAGGGGAGGGGGAGGAGAGGAGGAAGGAAGGAGGAGGAGGAGGAGGAGGAGGAGGAGGAGGAGGAGGAGGAGGAGGAGGAGGAGGAGGAGGAGGAGGAGGAGCTGGAGGTCTCAAGGCTCCCGATGGGAGACCGGCCCCCATCGCACCGGGGCGCCGGGGCGCCACGGGGCGCCCACGATCGGGCCCATGCGGCGGGAGCGCGGCGAGACCTCTAGGGAAGCCTGGCCAGCGCACGGGGGCGCCCAGCGCGACGCCCACGAGCAGGCTGCGGGGCGGCCGCGGGGCGACGAGCCGGGGGAATCCCCGTCCAGCCAGCTCTTGCCGTCGCTCGGACGTCCATTTCCCGTGCATTTTTCGGTTTCGTGTGTGTGTGTCTTTTTTCTCGATGGTCCAGGATGGTCCTCGATGGTTCTCGCCGAGAAAAATGCACACGCCCGAGCGATGCCAACAGCTCGGGGATCGAAGCGAGAGCACCCCAGGTGCAGGCACCGTCACGAGGCCACGCGCGCGGGGGCGCCCGGATCCAAAGAGGCGTGGGGGAGAGATCGCGTTCGAGCCCGATGCTCCGTGCCGTCTGTTGCCCCCTCGGTTGAATCATGGAGTGTACTTTCAGCGCAGCGCACGCGCCATCCCTCGCTGCGACCCTGCTTGCAAGCCCCCGCAGGGCCACAGGCAGCACGACTCCGACAAGGCCACCTGTGCAGCCTAGAGCCAGCCACGGGCAGGCTGGCCCGGGGGGGGGGTCAGACCCTCCGCGCGGGCAAAACAAAAGCAAGGCGTAACGGGCGTTATTCACATCATAGCTCGTTTCTGAGTACCCTTATTCTTCCTCTTCTTGCTCCGCCGCCCTTCCTTCTGCCTCTCCCCACCTCATTCACTACTCTCTCATGCCTGCTCCTCCTCCTCGTGCCTCTCCCCCACTCCTCTCCCTCCTCCACCTCCTCCTCCCCAGCCTCCCCCTGTCATCATCTGCTCCCCTCCTTGTTCTCCGCCTCCCTCCATAACGCCTCCTTCCTCCTCCTCCTCCTCCTCCTCCTCCTCCTCCTTCTCCTGCTCCTCCTCCTCCTCCTCCTCCTCCTGCTCCTCCTCCTCTTCCTCCTCCGCGCTCATTCCCTGCCGCCTTGGGCTTCAGGGACCTCCACGAGTGCCCGGACCGTCCGGACGCCCCCGCCCCCCCGATAGGGTTACCAGATGGAAGGCTGTGCCCGCAGGGCACGGCCGACGCCACGCGCCTCCCAAGGCATCCAGATCAAGACAGGCGCCCCTCCAGCTCCTCCTCCTCCTCCCTCCTCCTGTCCTCCTCCTCCCCTCCTCCTCATCCTCCTCCTCCCTCCTCCTCCTCCTCCTCCTCCTCCTCCTCTCCTCCTCCCTCCTCCTCCTCCTCCCTCCTCCTCCTCTCTCCTCCTCCTCCTCCTCTCCCTCCCTCCCTCCTCCTCCTCCTCCTCTTCCTCCTCCTCCTCCTCCTCCTCCTCCTCCTCCTCCTCCTCCTCCTCTTCCCTCCTCCTCCTCCTCCTTGCCCATCATCCCCCATCCCCATTATCTTCCCCATGATGACGCCATTCGGCACTTGTCCAGGGGAACAGCTGATGGGACGCACGGGGCGCCACATAGAATTCTATGCACTCGGTGAGCACCCGTAGTCGCCCCTTAACCGGTGGACGGCTGAGCAACAAGTGGTCTAGGATCGCATGTCCATCCCTGTCGACTGACAGGCATTGACATCCGCCCCTCGTGTCTGAAGCTACGATGCCCATCCCTGTTGATGAACAGGTGGGCATTCCGCCCTCGCAAAGGGTTGGTAGCGGGCGCAGAGAATTCTCGCCCGCCCCAGTGGCCGTGAGACGGCGACTTTGCCGTTGCGGGCGCGACAATTTCGCCATTGATGGTGTTCAGTAGGCACCGTCTTGGTTAGGATGCCGATCCCTGTCGATGGACAGGCATGGGCATCCGCTCCGCATACCTAGAGCTGGGATGCTCCCCCCTGAGGGTGGACAGGCATGGGCATCCCGTCCTTGCACAGGCTTTGCTGGGCACCGGGAACTTCGGACAGCTTACCAAAAGCCGCGACAACGGCCCTATCGCCGATGCGGGCGCGGCAACCAAGTGGGTGTCGTGCCAGCGTGATGCCCTTCCCTGACGATGGACAGACACTGGCATCCACACATCGTGCCCAAACCTAGGATGCCGTCCCTGTCGATGGACAAGCACGGGCACCCCGCCCTCGCCACGAGGGCCCCCAGGTGAGCATCCGACAAGCACGGCCCGCCCCGGCGGCCATGCGACGGCCTCGGGGCACGGGGAACTTGACTTGGCAACAAGGAGCTCTGGCCAACCCGAACGGCCACGAGACGGCCATGCCGCAATTGCGGTCGCGAAAACGCTCGGCACTTACGATATGAAGCTGGCACAGCGTTGGCCTATACGCCCATCCCTGTCGAGGGACAAGCGTTGGCAGGCGCTCCTCGTGCCCTTCGCCACGATGCCCGTCGCCGTCGATGGGCAGGCATGGGGTAGCCCGCCCTCGCAGTGCGGGTTTTGCGGGGCATTTGAGAAATTAAGCCCGCCGCCATGGCCGCGAGACGGCCACGTTATCGCAGCAGGCGCGACAGACGTCAGCAGTTACTACGTGCCGCGACAACTTTTTAGTCTGGGCATGCAGCAGTCTCTGTTGGCCATCCCCGCCTAGTGAGAGGCCAGGCGCTAAATCCTGCCAGCCCTCTGGGCGTAGGTGGTTTAATGAGTTTTGATTTCACTCTGTCCAGAATCTCTCCTTTCCCTACTGGGGGGAGGGGTCTACCCCTTTCCCTAACCTCGGCCTTGGGCCTGGGAGGGGGTGGGGGGGGGGCTGGGCGTGGGAGGGGGGGGCGCGAGTAGTTAGAGCGTCCGACATGACCCAAGATGGCTCAGTAGGGCCTCAGACACCCCAAGATGGCTGGCCTCCAAGATGACTGGCTCAAGATAGCTCAAGGTGGCTCAAAAAGCCCACCTCCAAGAGGGCTGAAGACGGCCCCAAGACGGCTTCAACTGCCCTCCGATCCCTTGAAGGACCCCCCCCCCAAGAGGCACGCAGTGCTCCAACACCTCAGGAATACTTGTGAAATTGTCTTCTCGCCCCTTCGCTTCCGAAAGGCCTCGGAGGCTTCAAGATGGCCCCGAGATGGCCCAAGAAAGCGCCTAAGAGGGACCCGATAGGCGTTCAAGTCGGCCCCAAGAGCGCCCCAAAGAGCCCCAAGAGCGCCCCCAAGACGACCCCACGACGCAATGTATGTTTGAGGCTCCGGGGGGGGGGCTCTGAGTTTACGCCCCAACTCTTTTTGAACAGTAAGCCCGAAATTGCCCCAAGAGGCCTCCCAGACCACCCGAAGGAGCCCCAAGAGGGCCCCTAGACACCCCAATAGAGCTCGACGGTGGCCCCAAGTGGCTCCGCGAGAACGCCAAGAGAGACCCAATATGGACCCAAGAGACCTCAAAGAAAACACTTCCAAGGCGGCTGTTACACTGCATGCCTCTACACTTCCCTGATAAGAAGACAACTCGCCTGGCGCTCTGTTTCTGGATGGGCTGGCGGGGATACTTGTGTTGTTCGCAAGCGCGCAGGGGTGCCAGGCGCCGTCAGGGAATTGCCAATTAGCAATGGCCGAAATTACCCACTAAGTGCGCAGGAGCGGGCTACACTGCACCTCAGATGCGGGCGACCCAGAGCACCAGGTCCACGTGGCTGATGGGGATACTTTTTTTTACAGCCGCAGGCGAAAGCGCCGACGGCGGGCGGTCACGGTCGGGCTGCGGCCGCGACTAAATTCCCGGGCGCGCGCGGGGGCCGCGGATCAGGCGGCGGGGGGGGGGGCAGCGACCCACGGCGTCTGAGAAGCCAGGCGAGCGTGCAATCCAGGGAGTCTGTAGGGAACGCCCAGGCTCGTGCAAGTGGCAAACCCAGGGAGTCTGTCTGCCACCGAGAATTAAAACGCCGCCAAAATGGCGCGTGGACGCTCCCGTCGTGATCGTATCAAAACGACCGTTGGTAGGGACAAGGCTGATGGGGATACGCGGAACGTCAAGATTTTTGGGTACTCTGCATCATCGAACTCAAGTGTTCCCATTTACCGATCAATTGTCAGACGATCTCGGCTCCAACGATCCCTCCATCACTGCCACCAAAAATTCTGTGAATTTCTGAGCCGGACGACTCCAGCTACCAGCAGCCGCGAAACGCAGCGGGACATCCAGGCTAACGCGGCGCCAACTTGACATTGCAACTGTCGAGTGTTGCCTCGCCTGCAACTGCGAAGATGCCCGTCACGCAACCGTGTTAGCTGACCCTATGTTCCGGGGGGCCTAACCACACCCTCTTTGCGAGGGCGAGATGTCCATGCTTTCCCATCCACAGGGATGGGCAGTGTGGCTTTAGGCGCGGGGAGCGGATGCCTGCCCATCGACAGGAGAACGGGCATGCAGGCCAGCACGGTGCCTGCGGAATGCCGTCAATGGCGAAGCTGCCGCGCCAGAGTTGCCGTCTCGCGGCCACTGGGACGGGCCAAGAGTGCCCAGCAGAGCCTCTCCCTACGATGGCGGGCCTAGCAACGGCGACGGGCCTCCCAGCTTCAAGCACGACGTGCGGATGCCAGTGCCCGTGCATCGACAGGGATGGCCACCCAGTCTGAGTGTGTCGTTTCAGCGATCCCCATCCCCACCAGCGCGGGCTGGGCCCCACTGGCCGATTTACCCACCTAGATGGGGATACGGGCCGTATCTTTTTCCGGCTTCGAGGGGTGCATCCCCAACTGGGGTGGTAACTTGGTGGGGGTCTCGAAAGGGACGGGGATGGGGATGGGGATCGGTTAAACGCTACTGACCGTCACAGACAGTGCCCACGGGATACCGTCAGCGGGGAAGGCTGCCAGCTCCTGGGCGAGCGGGCCTCCAGCTCGGGCACGCCGCAGGGGCGGCGAGAGTGCCAGGCGAGCGTGCCGTGCGGCTCGCGCGACTACAGCCCTCACCGAGGATGAGGGGCGGGGCCTCCCCCCGGGCTCCCAGGCGGCTCCTGCGGGGCCCCATCTTGCCCAGATGAGGCCGCCGAGCCCATGGCCAAGCATTTGCCATCGTCATCTCCCTCCCCCCCTCGTCCTCCCGGCGCGCATTTGGCGCGTCGTCACTGTCTGTCTTGCCGCGCTTTTGGCGCCTTCTGTCCGCCAGCTAACGCATTTGGCGTTGCTCGCGCGCTCGCCAATTGTCTTGCCCACGCGCGTTTTGCGTATGGCTGCTTCGATCGATCCTCGCACCCACAAAAGCTAGGATGCGCATTCCTGCCCCCAGACCCTCGACATGAATGTTTCGTGACGTCGGCCCCCAGAAAGGTCTCGGCTCATTCCCGATGACCGGCTTTCATCCCGAGTCGTTTTTTGACGGCCCCGAGGCCCTGTAAGAGCACCCAGAAGCCGAAAACAGCGAAACATCGACCGTCGCGAGTGATTTTGTCCCAACCATCCTGTGGTGTTGGGTCCTCGTTTTGAAGAGACAGCGCCCCGCGTTCCTTCTCCTCCTCATCCTCCTCGTCCTCCCCCTCCTCATCCCGCTTCTCCCTCCTCCCAATATTGTCTCTGCCCTCCGCATGACAACCAGTCCGACACACACCCCTCACGCGCTTTTCAGCCCCATAGGGAGCTCCACCGAAGGCCCTAGAGGCATGGTTCGCGTGCCGTCCACCCTCCACTGTGGCGCACCACCTCACGTTTCGCGGCCGTGGCCCAATAGGAAGCTCCACCGAAGGCCCCAGTGGCATGGTTCGCATGCCGCCCACCCTCCACTTCAGCACAACCCTCGCACGTTTCGTGGCGAAGGTACCAGCGGCATTTTGCATGCCGCCCCCCCTCCACTTTGGTACTCCCCCCACACGTTTCGTGGCCCCATGGGGAGCTCCACCGAATGCCCCAGTGGCATGGTTCGCATGCCGCCCCCCCTCCAAAGCGCCCTCCCCCACCTCACACGTGTCGTGGCCTCATGAGGAGCTCCACCGAAGGTCCCAGAGGCATGGTTCGCATGCCGCCCCCCGTACAATGTGGCACACACATTACTGTACATGTTTCGGAGCCCCACAGTGGCGTGAATCGCATGCCGCCCGCCCTCCACTTTGGCAAAAAACACTCGCACGTTCTGTGGCCCCATGGGGAGCTCCACCGAATGCCACAGTGGCATGGTTCGTATGCCGCCCCCCGTCCAAATTGGCACACCCCTCACACGTGTCGTGGTCCCACAGGGAGTTCCACCGAAGGCCCCAGTGGCATGGTTCGCATGCCGCCCACTACACGTTTGCACACCTCTCACACGTTTTGCTGCAACGCAGGGAGATCCACCGAAAGCCTCAGCAGCATGAATTGCATGCCGTTCCACCTCCATTTTGGCACACACGCACACACACACCTCACACGTTTCGTGCCCCATGGGGAGCTCCACCGAAGGCCGTAGCGGCAGCGCCCGCATGGCGACCCTGCCCCATTGCGGCGCACCCTTCGCGCGCTTCGTGTCCATAGGGAGCTCCACCGAAGGCAGTTCTCACAACGGCGGCATTCGCAACCGCACATGGTTGGATCTTCCGCCAGGATAATTTCATGACTCGAGGGGGTCTGGATTGATGGACAGGCATGGGCATCTCACTTCCGCCATGAGGGTGGTGTTGCCAGTCCACTTGCGGATAGGTTTGTAGCCTGACGTGAAGCGAGCCCCATGATGGGCTTGGGTCTGAGCGGCACGATGCATGAGGCGGGAAGGCAGGTATTCTGTGTACCACTGAGCGTAGATGCACACACACACACACACGCACACGCAGTGCAATTCACTGTGCTCGGCGAGGAACCCAGACATGCCAGCGTCCCGAAACAGTCAGGACCGACAATGTTTGGCCGTTGTGAGCCTCTGGGGGCCCTTACCAGGCCCCGGGACAATCAAACAAACGACTCAGGATGAAACACCGTTCCTGGAGAAATGGTCGGGCCATCCAGGGATCCCGTCTTGAAAACATCAGGACATCGCACGTCTGGGAAGACAGGGTATGGAAGACCAGGATCGAGCCCGAAGCGAACCGTGGAGGCATCTCTGGCCACACCCCCAGCGCACTGGAGAGGTCCGAGGGAGATCCAACACGTGGCCCAGCTACAGCGGCGGCAGGACAGTCTATAGGAATCCCCTCCTGGCGGCGCGCAGAAGGGGGGTAGGGAGAGGGGGAAGGCTTCTTAGAAGGAGGCTGCTTCTTAGAAGTTGCGGGCCTCACATCTACACCCTGCGAAATGCTTAAGAAATCATGGGTTAAGAAATTCAGAGTCTCAGAACTTGAACCAAAGCCCAGAATGCCTACTCAAATCTTGGGATTCACATTGAAACCTTAAGAATCATCGAGACTCTGGCCGAAAACTTGGGTATTCTTAAGCATCGCCTAAGGTGTACAGACAAGGCCCACGCCCTCTGAGAAGCAGGGCTGCTTCCAAGAAGCCTCCCCCCGCTCCCCCTCTCCCCCTCTGCGCGTGGACGACCCTCACTCTTTCCCACGGTGCGGCTTGAGCCTCAAGGGTCTCAGGACGTGCTCCCCTCTGGCTGCCCTGCCCCATTGCACCCCTGATCCATACGACATTTAGCATCCCTCATTCCCCTCCTCCTGCTCCTCCTCCTCCTCCTCCTCCTCCTCCTCCTCCTCCTCCTCCATCCTCCTCCTCCTCCTCTTCCTCCTCCTCCTCATGGCTGCCCTGCCCCATTGGGCGCGAAGTTCGAGCTGAACCTGCCGCACTCGAGGCGGGACACGGGGCTTGGACGAGGCCAGTGGGGTTTCTGAGAAGCTCCCCAGGAGCCCCCTATCGTTTTGTTCCATCGTTTCCCTGCCCTCGGGTGGTGCACCATGGTGGTGCACCAGGCCTCTGGTGCCACCAGCGGGGTCGAGGCACCCCTGATCCATACGACATTTAGCATCCCTCGTTCCCCTCCTCCTCCTCCTCCTCCTCCTCCTCCTCCTCCTCCTCCTCCTACTCTTCCCCCTCCTCCTGCTCCCCCTCCTCCTCCGCCTGCTGCCATTCTAACGCCGACGCCTGCTCACCGTCCGACGGCGACGACGACGACGACGACGACGACGACGGAGACGCCGCGGTGGGGGCCGTGCAGGGCCTCGGTGGCCCGCTCCCGCGAGGTCCAGGTCCAGGGTGCCCGAGCCTCCTCGGGCCGCCGCCGAGAGGGCCCCCCCCCTGCCCAATCCGGCGGTCGGGGGCTGCCCGAGGGCGCTCCCTGCCTTCGGTCGTGCCGGTCCTCCTTCAGGCGGAGCTCGGAGGAGAAACGGAACACAGCCAGCACATGTGCAAACGTAAGAAAGCATGCTCGGAGCATCCTCCCCAGACTTAAAAAGACTGTTGTTGGGATATTCCTCCTGTAGAAGGGCATGCCCGACTTAATCCTGGCCCCAGGTGCCGCCAGCTCTTCGTCCATCGTGGAGACCGTGGGCCCACCCTGGGCCTCGTGATGGGGTGCTCTGGAGGCCGTGGGGGCGCCCCTGGAACTCCTGGGGGGCACCTCGGGCCGCCGCCGAGGGGGGGGGGGGCCCTCCTCCCCTTGGGCCTGAGGTCGGCGGCCAGCGAGGGGGGGAAGTGAGACGGCGAAGGCCGTCTCAGAAGGCGGCGGGGCTTCCAAGAATCCCTCGCGCCTTCTGGTAAGCAGTTTGTGTCCCCGGGGACGGCGCAGACATCTCAGAAGGCCTGTGGACTTCCGAGCCTTTCGGGAAGACCCGCCCCTTCTCACTTCCCGGCTGGCTCGCCGCCGATTGGGAAGAATCTCCTGGGAGGTGGAGGAGGAAGCTCTCACTATGGGACGCACAGGGACATACTAGCACTATGAATCCTTCTCGGAGGCGTGCGTCCGTTCCGAACACATGATGCAACCACATTGCCAACGTGTCACTCGATCGGTCCCACTATCGATCTCACTATCGATCTCACTATTGGTCTCGCTCGATCGATCTCACTCGATCCATATCACAATCGATATCCCTCGATCTATTTCATTCGATCGATATCACAATCGATCTGACTATCGATCTCACAATCGGTCCCACTATCGATCTCACTGTCGATCTCACAATCGATCTCACATTCGGTCTAACTCTCGATCTCACTATCGATGTCACAATCAATATCACCATCAACGTCATCATCATCATCATCATCATCATCATCATCATCATCAACACATCATCGTCATCAACGTCATCAACACCATCATCAGCATCATCGGGACACCATCATCATCACCGCATCACCATCATCATCAGCATCACCATCATCACCATCATCATCGGGACACCACCATCGTCACCATCACCATCAACATCATCACCGGGACACCATTATCATCATCATCATCATCGGAACACCACCATCATCACCATCATCATCTCATCATCATGATCATGAACAACATCATCAACTTCGTCATCATCTGGACACCATCTCCATCATTAGCAACATCATCAGCATCATCATCATCATCAACGTCACCATCATCATCACCACCATCATCAACATCATCGAGGCACCATCATCATCAACATCAGCGTCATCATCACCATCATTGGGCCACCATCATCAAAATCATCATCACCTCATCATCATCATCATCATCACCCTCATCATCAACATCATGATCATCAGGACACCATCATCATCATTATCATCACCATCGGGACACCATCATCATCATCACCATCATCAACAACAACATCATCACCCTCATCATCATCATCATCGGGACACCATCATGATCTTCATCATCATCATCAACTCATCTGAGCATCATCAACATCATCATGATCATCAACATCAGCATCATCATCAGCGGGGCACCATCATCATCAGCAATACCATCATCATCAGCATCGGGGCACCATCATCGTTACCACCATCACCATCATCATCATCAACATCGTCAACATCATCATCATCATCATCATCATCATCATCATCATTAGCATCATCATCATCATCATCATCATCATCATCATCATCATCATGGGGACACCATTATCATCACCACCATCACCATCATCAGCATCTTCAACATCATCAACATCTTCATCTTCATCATCATCATCAGCCTCAGCCTCAGCATCAGCATCAGCATCAGCATCAGCATCAGCATCAGCATCAGCATCAGCATCAGCATCATCATCATCATCATCATCATCATCATCATCATCATCATCATCATCATCATCATCATCATCGGGACACCGACGGGACACCGGCGGGACACCGGCGGGACACCGGCGGGACACCGGCGGGACACCGCGCGCCACCGGCCCCCGAGCGGGACACCTTGGGACACCGCGGGGCACCGGTTGCTGGAAGGGAGACTTTTGGTCCGACCGCGCCTCAGCTACAGGAGACTTATTGCTCGCCCGCCCACGCAGCTTCGCCTCGCCCGCACGCACGGCACGCACGAACACGAAACCGAAACCGATTTCCCGGTAGGGGGGCTCTCCATTCCACTTCGATCTCACCCCCTCACCTCCGATAGTTTCCCGAGCGGTGTTGCCAGAAAGCGTCCGCCACGGAGCTTGTACTATAAGATTTCTCGGCACCCGCGTCGCCCCTGTGGGGGCGACGCAGACATAGTTGGAGGTTCTGGGGTGAGATCGCATTGGAACGCAGAGCACCCCACGGAGAAATCGGTTTCGGTGTCGTGCTCGTGTCGTGCGTGTGGGTGTGAGGCGAAGCTTCGTGGGCGCGCGAGAGGAATGACCCCGCCGTCGCTAGGACGAGTGGGATGCAATGGACCGCCCCTCCACCCCTGGTGGGCGCGCGGTGGCCCAAGGTGTCCCGCCGTGGTGTCCTGTGGTGTCCCGTTGGTGTCCCGTTGGTGTCCTGTCGGTGTTCCGACGGCGGTGGGCGGGCGGTGGCAGGGGGTGTCCCGCCTTAGTATCGATAGTGAAGTCGATGGTGAGATCAATCATGAGATCGCTAGAATGGGATGGATAGTGGGATCAAACGTGAGATCGACAATCAGGTTGATAGCGACATGAGTTGCGAGATAGAAAGCGGGAACGTTAGTGGCATTACATCGCAGCGCAACGTCGTCATCACGCGTCGTCGCTAACTCGAGGGCGCGTCACCAGTATCGTCATCATCACACCCATCGCATATGCCAGCAGTTGGTTTTACCACCCCATCCCCAACCTCCTTATCACCCGAAAAGTGGTCGTATAGGTATTAGTATGTTGGGATGACGCCGAGCTTAGGCCGTATGAAGCATCTCCTAGAAGGGCTTCGCGGGAAAGCTTAAGGGCAATCAACGTTCTTAAAGAGCGAAGAAATCAACTTAGGATGGATTTGGCCCAGAATTCAAGCCAGACGGGCTATTCCAGAAAGCATTGAACTGAATAACTGCATTGATCGGCATTATGCTTGACTTGGCCGGTTTTCGACCACTTTAACTTCCCAAGACGTGCATCATAACTTCCCATTCCTCTCGGCCTAGGTCATCTGACATCGCGCATTGCGCCCTCGCAATTCGCGCCGCCCCCTCGGAGGAGGGCAACCACTGTGGCGATATGTGGGCCAGACCGCAAGGAGGAGGACAATACGGAGGAGGAGGTGGAGGGGAATGAGAAAGGGACAACGAACCGAAGAAGATTGAGGACTGGAAAAAGGCAAAGCGGCATAAACATAAACTCTTGGCGCTCCGCGCGAATTTCCTGGCTCTGCGTTGGACCCCCCTCCCTGGCGCGCGCAGCGCGCCATGGCCAGGGGCGGCGCTGGAGGCGCCGCCGGGGGGGCCCCAGCGCGGACCCAAGAAATCCGCGCAGAGCGCCAAATGTTTCTATGTTTATAGTGTTTTCTCTCCTTCGAATCCAGACCCCCCACGCCGCGACTTTGTCACAACGTCGACCCCCAGAGGTCTGGACCCCTTCTTAGGGACCGGTTTTTCATCCTGAGTCATTTTTGACGGCCCAGCGGCCGGGTAGGGGCTCCCAGAGGCCGAAAATAGCCAAAAAACCCCGGTCGTAATTTTGGTCACAGTGCGAGGGGGTCTGGAAAGGACGCAGAGATGTTGCAGCCCCGCGACGTCCTGAGCAGGCGAGCGTCACGGCCGCATGCTGGTACGTGCCGGGCAGGCACGCGTGCTGCCTACGCGGGCCCGACCGGGCGCCAGACTCTGGGCATCGCCCGGGCAAGGGCACCCGTCCTGGAGGGTTCAAGGCCCCCTCCTTGCCATCGCTCGGACGTCCTTTGTGAGCGTTTTCTTATTCGGCATGTCGACATTAAGCGGAAGAGGGGGGGAAGGGGGAAGGGGTCCGGCTCCAGACCTCTGCTTAGTGCGACTGTCTGCGACAGGACGTCCATTATGGGGTAGACTCCACCTGCCTGAAACAGGCTCAAAAAACAGCCAAGATCCACTCCATGGGGGGGGGTTGAGAAGGGAGGGTGCGAGGGCCCGCGGCGATCGGCAACACAAGAAATAAAAAAACGGTCACCTTGCCCGTGCATCTGTTCGGTTTCGTGCGTGTCTGTGTGTATGTGTTTCTTTGTTTGTCGCAGGAGGAGATCCAGGATGCTGCTCGGTGTGATTCACGCCGAGAGAAGATGCACACGTCCGAGCGCTGCCAGGCCTCGCGTCGTGAGGCGCGCGGGGCGGAAAGCTTTTGGTCGTCTGCGGCCCTCCAGGGGCCACGGCAGGGCCAGGGGCCGTCTAAGAACGAAGGTTACTCGGAATGGAAGGCCTGCCCACGGGGAGGGTTCCCGATCGATCTCTGGCAGGTCTTGAACTCACGACGTCGGGGGCCTGGGGGGGGGAGAGCAAGGAGAAGACCTGGCCTGGGTCCGGAGACCCAGGTCCTGAAAGAGGAGGGCGGAATAGGAAAGGCAGCAGAGAGAGGCCAACGAGCGAGAGAGTGGCCGAGAGCGGCCGACAGAACGACCGCAACGCGAAACACGGAACGAGGGAGGAGGACGAGGGAGGGCGAGCAGGCGGAGAAGGAGGAGTGCGAGGAGGAGGCCAAGCGGGTCTGAAATGTCTCCGGGTTGTGCGGGGCTCGCGTCTGGGGGATGCTGATGCCCTCGCCCTGAGGGCCTCGACACGGCTGCGGCCGGAACCCCTCGAGCCCATGCTGAGGCTCCTGAGGGCCTCGCATGGGCCTGGAATCTCAAGGCTGTGCCGGAATCGTAGATGGTGGAGGGTTCGGGCCCCCGCCGTGAGGGGTCGCGTGGAGGCCCTCGCCGAGAGGGCCTCAGCACAGGGGCGCAGCATGGCCCCCCGGCGGCTTCGGGGCGTTGCGGAGGCCACGCCTGGCGACCAATGATGTGAAGGGGCCCTGGGACACACACAAATAAAATACACACAAATGGAGAGATTCCCTATATTTTCCTATATTTTCTGGGTTTTTGTCTTCCCCCCCACTTCCCATAGTTTCCCATATCTGCTGGGGGATCGACGATTAGTTGTGTCTGTGTGTTGCTTTCCCTCCTGAAGATGGTCCACGGCAGCAGTGGCCGTGTGTCAAGATGACTCTACGATTCTGCCTCGAGTCTGCCTCGAGTGATCCGTTCATCGTGCTAACGGCGAGCAGGCTCTACTTTCGCTCCAGCTCACTGCTTTGCCCACGGGTTCCTCAGAAGGCTTGGCCATGCTCGCTTACTCGCACGTCTGGCGGATGTTTGGAGGCTCTCGCCTTGAGGGCCTCAACGCAGGAGGCCTGAAATCTCTCGGGGCCGTGTAAGAACAAGGAAATCAGGGGCCAGGCGCTCGCCAGATACACTGGATGCAATGTCGCTGCTGTTCACCCCGCGACCACAGAGGAGAGTCGGAGGAGGGGAAGTCATCTTTGCGACGAGACGTTGCCAAACGGACCCGAGGCCAGCCGAAGAAAGCAGCGCCAAAGAAGGCCAACCCCAACTCCGAAGGGACCGAAGAATCCACCGCCACCCTGTTCAGCCCCAGGGGGGCCTCAGGGCGTCGAGGGCGGAGAAAAGGTTTGCGCCTGACGCAAGACTCAAACCGAAAACGGCGTCGGCCGCGTTTCCGCCGCATTGCGGCGAACGCCATGTGACACAGGCTGTGCGGACCTCAGGTCGGTGACTCGGTGACCTCAGAAGGCCGCTTGGAGGCCCCAGCAGGTCACCGACCCAAGCTATAGGAACAGTCGGCCGGTGACCCCAGGAGGTCGCGCTGGGGCCCAAGGATGTCACCGACGCAAGCTGTGGGAACCATGGGCCAGCGACCTCAGGAGGCCGCTTTGGCCCAGAAGGTCACCGACGCAAGCTGTGAGAACCTTCAGCTGGTGACCTCAGAAGGACGCTTGGGGGCCCCAGAAGGTCACCGACGCAAGCTACGGGAACCACCGGTCGGTGATTTCTGGCCGCTTGGGGGCCCCAGAAGGTCACCGACGCCATCTGTGGGAACCTCGGGTCGGTGACCTCAGGAGGCCGCATGGGGTCCCCGAAGGTCACCGACGCAAGCAGTGCGAAGGAGCTCCCTGTCACCACTAACGGTGTCACAGGGTGGGCCCGAGGACAAGGACGAGGCCAGCGAAACCAAACAACCCTTTGGAGACTGGATCTGCCTCCCGAGAGCCCGTACTCGAGGCAAGAATACTGGACATTAAGGCTCTCGCTGCTGGACTTAGCATGCCGACGAGGCAGCAATGCAAATCTGGAGCCGGAAACCAGCTGTATCAGGAGGAAGCTTCGGGTCAAGAATATCTCCCTCCCCCCTCACCCCTCCTCCTCATCCACATCCTCATCCTCCAGTTCCTCCTCCCTCGTATTTACACTGATCCCATGCCCGATATTGGCATGGTCAGGGACGGTGAATATGTATAGTTGGTTCCCTCCGAGATCCCCCTCGAGGATGTGAAGGAGGAAGAAATAATAAGAAGAAGGGACATATCCAAACTCCCCTGCGGATGCGCCAAGTGCGCCGACACTTGTCCTGCTTTCCCGGTTCAATCACGAAGGATGGGGCTCAAAAACGGAGCTCAATCACATGCATCAGGCACCCCATGCACTCAACCAGCATGCACCACATGCAACTTGGCCTTGCGTGACCCTGGGTATGCCAGGCGAGCGGTTCTGGGGGCCTCAAGGACGAACCGAATTTGCTCTGGATCTCCCACTGGCTCCGTCCGTCGTTTCTCTGACCTGCCCTCATAGCTGTATCGGCGAATCAGGAAGGATTCGGAGTCGGACGTGTTTGGATTTGACGCGGAATCGATGTTGCTCAGGTTCTGGATCATCGAACTTCTTATCTCTCGGACTTGAACTGTTTTGGGAAATTCGCTGGATTCCGGACTTCGCACAACGGAGTCCGCGCAAAGCCGCCTCGCGCGGTCCAGAACGAGGGGCCAACAGGAACCATCTCGTTCATCGGACGCGCGGCTGCATTGTTCGCGGGTCTCCCCACTCACTCGTCGCATTCACGATAGCAGTCTCTCGTCGCATCTCTGTCGCAAGCCATGCTTTTTCATCGGCATGCGGCATGCGCATCATGAAACCTTCTCCTGGGACCCAACCATATGCAATTTTGAATACCGCGTTGGGGGTACCGCTTTCGGTGGAGCTACGTTTAGGGCCACGAGACGTGTGAGAGGTGTCGAAACAGGCGCGGTGGTGCGATGCGGGCTCTGCCCCTGGGGCCTTAGGTGGAGCTCCGTATGGGGGTTGTGCCGAGACGGGTGCGGTGGTTAGATGCGGACGCTTCCACTGGGGCCTTAGGTGCAGCCCCACGTGGGGCCACGAAACGTGTGAGGGGTCTGCCGAAACATGCGCGGTGGTGCCAAGCGGGCGCTACCACTGGGGCCGTAGCCGGAGCTCCCTATGAGGCCACGAGGCGTGTGAGGGGCGTCCCAAAAAGAGCGCGGTAGTGCCATGCGGGCGCTGCCACTGGAGCCTTCGGTGGGGCACACGTCTCGCATCCCGGCCTCGAAGGCCCAGCGCGGCAGCGCGCCGGTGCCGTCGGGGTCAAGCCTGCGGTAGCCCTCCAAGGTGCAATCGCAGAAGTGAGTCGCCGCGGTCTCGGGATAGTGCTGGAGCTTTGGAGGGCATGCTGGGCCGAGACAGCTTCGGTGCGGTTGTGCCATGCGGGCGCTGCTACCGGGACCTTAGGCGGAGCTTCCTATGGGGTCACGAAACGTTTGAAGGATGTGCCAAAATTCTTTACATGCGGAGGGCAGACGCAGGAATGGGAGGAGGAGGAAGGAGGGAGGAGGGGGGAGGGGGACGAGGAGGAACAACGACGCTGGGCGCTGTTTCTTCAGGACGAATACCCAATACCACAAGATGGTTGAGAACACACGCAGCTGCCGGCCTTTGCTTTGACTCTGGACTGCTAGGAAGTGATACCCGAGACTGCGCTCAACACAACTGTTTTCCGATTGTCAGTGTGCGTGCTCACGCGTACTTCTGTGAGCTACGCACTCGAGGGGCCTGTCTGCTGGCGTGCCTTGCTGCCATGTGTCAGATAACTACATTCATGATGTCTGAGGACCTAGCTGCTATCAACGTCTGCTAACAAGTGAGCCGCGCCAACACTCATTCACAGCCTCTCTGCCCCCTAACCTCTCCATCCCTGCGCCAACTTGGATGGTTCCAATGTTCATCTGGACAGGGGTGCGGGAGATTCGAACGGAAGACAACATAACGACGAACTCCACCAACTCGTGACTGCGTTTACCTGTAATGCCTCTGCCCCCATGGAGGGATCAACATGTCTTCCATGGTCTTACACCAATACCAACTTCCCCTTTCCCGCCTGGCATTGGCGAAGCCTGCCACAACTGCGTGCACTGCAAGGCCCGGCCAGATGCATTGGGCACTGCAACCTCCCAAGCTGCTAAGGGCAAGCATCTCGCACAAGGCATCTGCTCTTTTCACGCCGAGCAACCGTTGCGCAGCAAGCGTGCCCCTCCCCCAAAGAGCGCTTGCGCTTGGGGATCTGACTTCTCCCAAAACAGCTGGATGCGTCCGTCGAGGTTTCGCCAAGTCGCCGACCGCTGCCGCCTCGGAGCAGCCCACTTGGGGCGTCCGTCGAGGTTTCGCCGCGTCACCGCGCGCTGCCTCCTCGGAGCCGCCCACTTGGGGCGTCCGTCGAGGTTTCGCCGCGTCTTCGCGCGTTGCCGCCTCGGAGCCAGCCACTTGGGGCGTCCGTCGAGGTTTCGCCGCGTCATCGCGCGTTGCCGCCTCGGAGCCGCCCACTTGGGGCGTCCTTCGAGGTTTCGCCGCGTCGCCGCGCGCTGCCGCCTCGGAGCCGCCCACTTGGGGCGTCCGTCGAGGCTTCGCCGCGTCGCCACGCGCTGCCGCCTCGTTGCCGCCAACTCGGATGGGACCGCCGAGGTTTCGCCGCGTCGCCGCGCGTTGCCGACGCGTTGCCGCTGACTTGGGGGGCCCGTCGAAGTTTCGCCGCGTCGCCGCGCGTTGCCGCCTCGTTGCCAGCCACTTGGATGGGACCGTCGAGGTTTCGCCGCGTCGTCGCGCGTTGCCGCCTCGTTACCGCCGGCTTGGGGGGTCCATCGAGATTTCGCCAAGTCGCCCCCCCTCGTTGCCGCCCACTTGGGGGGTCTGTGGAGGTTTCGCCACGTCGCCGCCCGTTGACGCCTCGGAGCCGCCTCTTTGCCGCCGGCTTAGGTAGGTCCGTCGATGTTCCGCCGCATCGCCGCCCTTTTGCCGCCTCGTTTCCGCCGACCTCTGGGGCGGGTCCGTCGAGGTTGCACCGCATAGCTTGCACCTCAAAGATTGCACGACATAGCTTACATCACATGGCTTGGACAGCGCAAATGGCATAGCTCAGACACCCACTGTGCAAACACTTACGGCTTGGGGTCCACGCTGGCTAACATGTTGCAAGCATCGGGTTATACGTTGACCACGCGCATGCGCATCATTGCCACTGGAACTGCCAACGGTGCTGAGGAAACGAATCCGGTTTCTGGATCATCTGGAAACGCAGGGCTGCGACGCTATCGTGCACCAGCTCATCAACGTGAATGGCATTGTGGTACCGTTCCAATCGTTTCAGCCTGACCCGATTGACATCATTAGCCACAGGGGAACCTCTGCATCGGCTCATGCGTTACATGCGCCCGCGGCAAAAACCCACCTTGAGCCAATTCCTTGAGTAACCAAACGACCGATGTGTTGCCCTCAACCTGCTCTGCACACAAACACCATATCTGACAGACTCTGTCGCCACGAATTGACGGGAATGCATCGCACGTGCTGCACACCAGCAAGTCAGTGGGGAGGCGACCAGCACGTGCGCCTCAACATTGCGACATACTTTGGTACACATACGGCAGCATCTAAACCCTGTTGACGACGTGTCATCCGACCAGCCGCACTACCCGTAGCCACTCATCACATGCGCATGGCATTGCTCGTACGCGTATGCATGGCATGCAAATAAGTGCCCACCATCGTACCGTAGGCACCGAATTGAGTGTCCTCAGGCCCCAACGCGTCACATATTGCTGAGTGCGTTTGGGCGCTTCTGGGTATCATCAACGACTTTTCCCGAGGCCTCGACAGCGAGCTTTGAAAATCGCACTTCTCGCGCGTCCTGAGAGAGATACACGGGGCCGTCCTGAGACTCTCTTGGGAATCGCTTGGGCCTTCTCATCAACCAAGTCGTCGCCAAACGTCCGGTGATAGATTATTCTATTGTTCCTGGCGTCTCGGCTCTTCAAGCGTTGAAGACGGCCCAAGAATCGACCTATGTCGGCCGCACGCACCAAACATTTGCCCAGAATGCTCCCAACACGATCCCAGAGCGAGCCCCTAAGCGGGCCTTCAAGGGGGAGTTCACACTGACCCGTTGAGCCGTCCACCCACCGATGTTCCCCGAGACAGACGGCAGGCCCCCAAAAAGAGCGCCCAACGTGCCCCCCTGAGGCTCTCGATGCGCCCACAGGAAGCATCCAGGAGACCTCCAAGAGGCCTCCCGCGAGAGCCCTAGAAGCCTCCGAGAGGCCTCTGATGCACGACACAGACACGGTGGCAGGATTAAGGTGGCAGGCGCCCGACCCGCCCGAAACCCGCGCGCGACCCACCCGCGACCCAAGCAGCGATCCACCTTCGACCCATCCCGCGAAACACCCCGCGACCCACCCCGCGACCCGCCCGCGACCCACCCGCGACCCGCCCCGCGTCCGCCCCCTCGCTCTTATCCGCGACTGCTGCGTACTACAAACGATCAGATGGCGGAGTCCGGAAACCCTGAACCCCAAAAATGTTTCCAGCACAATTTTGCTTCCGCCATCTTCCGCCGCCCTTCCACTGGCGGCGGCGGCCTCGCTTTACTTTCGCCGACCTTTCGTGCCGAGGAAGAGATGACAACTCCTTCGATCCTCGAAGGCAGGGACCTTGTTGAGCAGGGGCAGGCCGTCCCGGCATTCCTATAGGCCTGGCTCTAAGAACAGAAACCCGATGTGTCAAACCAACACGTTCTCAGCCAGACACGTTCTAAGAACACTTTGCGCAGACCACAACAAGGTTCTTAGAACGTCCTTTGGTTGGCCCATTGTAGAGGGCAAAAAGCACACCCCCTTAGCAACCACCCCGACAAAGGGAAGCCGTTTCCTGGCAAACGCACCCCCAGGCGGAATCGAACAGGGCAGGGCTGCTCCATAAACGCCATCCGGCCGTTTCGCAACCGCCAGTCATCGGGTCCGGGTGGTTTTCCTTCCCTCGCTGAGCATTGGCGAGCCAGGACGCTTCGCCACTGCTCGACTTTGGCACGCCTTCTCCCGCGGCGCCGGCGATCGCGCGGCGCGGCCAAGGCCTCGGCGGGGCCGCCGCGGGGCCGAGCTCGGCCGCCGGAGCGCGGCCGAGGCGCATGCGGAGGAGAGCGGGTCGACGGCGGAGGGGCGGCGCGCCCAGGCCGCGGAGGTGTGCGCGAGCGGTGCCGGCGCCCCCGTTTTCGGGAGGCTTTCGCTCGGAGACGCGTTTTGGGTTCAGGGTTTTTGGGGCTTCTCGGCGCGCAGTGGCCGATCGTCGAAGCAGGGCTGCACCCCACCTCGGCAGGCTTCCTTGGGGGGGGCTTTTAGCCGACCCGAGCAAGCCTGGCGAAGGTGGCAGGAGTTGCACAGACTCCCCACCCGCGACCGCAAGGCCGGCGACCTCCCAAACTAAAGCGTTTTAGGGTTTAGGGGAGGGCCCCCAAATTCCCACACATCGCCGCCGTGTCCACGCGTGGCGATTCACGAGGTGGCGAGTGTGCCTCGGCCGGCGGAAGGCATGCGTCAGGCATTGAACCTGAGATTGTCGCCTTCCGCCATCTACGCGCCGCTGCGCGTTCCCCTCGGGAAGCCAAGCTTTCTAAGGCGATTATCAAGGTACCCAAATGTTTTGACAACGACACTGCCAGGGCGCTAAGCCTTCGGCTGGGCCAAGCATGGGCCCTGCGTAGAACCTTAGATTTTGGCTTTCGGCTATCTGAGCGCCGCAGCGCGCTTCCCAAGCAAAACGAAGCGTTCTTGGGCGGTTGCTCAGGAACTCCGTTTGTTCTATACAACGAAGCTGCGAGGAGCCAAGCGTTCGGCTGGCGACAAGCATGGGCCATTCGTTTGCCCTTAGATTTAAGCTTTCGGCTACCTAATCGGAGCAGCACGCCTGCCTAAGGAAACCAAGCGTTCTGGGGCGAATTCTAAGGAATTGCATAGGTTTTGAACACCGGAGCTCTAGAAGGGGACCTTCGGGGACAACAGTCGTCGGGTTTAGGGTGTTGAAGTCGTCGAGAATCGCAAGGAGGTGATCGTTGAGTCGCGACTCCCCGAAGTCGCGGAGGGCAGCGCAAGGCTGCCATGGCGACCCAATCTGGCTACCGGCTGAAGCATCTCAGAGAGGCCCTGTCTCTCTTAGACGGCGAAGGACACGCGGTTGGTTAATCGCGCAATGAAGCGCTTGGGAATTTAAGGCGTCTCTGCGCGCAGCGGCCGAGAATCTAAGGTAATGTTGCGCCCCCCCTACGGCAAGCTTGACTGTGGGGGCGTCTAGCCGACCCAATCTTGCTTGGCGAAGGGGGCAGAACGCGCACGATCTTCCCACCTCTGGCCGAGAGGCTGGCGACCTCCCACACTAAAGCCTTGTAGGGTTTAGGGGAGAGCCCCTAAATTCTCACACGCGCACATACTCCCAGGCGCCCCCAGGCGCTCCCAGGCGCTCCCAGGCTCCCCGGCGTTTCCCAAGCGCCCCCAGGCGCTCCCAAGAGCTCCCCAGCGCTCCCAGGCGCCCCCAAGCGTTCCCGGGCCGTCCCAAGCGCTTCTAGGCGCTCCCAAGCGCTCCCAGGCGCTTCCGATTCCAGGCGCTCCGTGGCGATCCCAAGCGCTCCCCGGCGCTCCCCAACGCTCCCAAGCGCTCCCAAGCGCTTCCAGGCGCTCCCCGGCGCCCCCAAGCGTTCCCAAGACTCTCAAGCGCATCCAGGCGCTCCCAAGCGTTGCCCGGCGCTCCCAGGCGCTGCCATGCGCTCCCAGGCGTCCCGGCTCTCAAGCGTTCCCCGGCGCTCCTGGGCGATCCCAAAGCTCACAGGGCGCTCCCCAGCGCCCCCAAGCGCTTCCAAGCGTTCGCCAGCCGCTCCACGGCGCCCCCAGGCGCTCCCGGGCGCTCCCTGGCGCTTCCAAGCGCTCGCAAGCGCTTCCCAGGCGCTCCCAGTTTCGTCCAAAGCGTCATCGTAAGTACCAGGAGTGGAGTCTGGCAACTCGATGGCCTACAGTTGGCTCCGGACATCTAAAATCAATACCAGAAATTAAATTCTGGCACCTCGAAGAGCACGAAGTGGCCTACAGTCGGCTCCGGACTTGCAAAATCCGTACCAGGAATGGAGTTCTGGCAACTCGACGATCACGAAGTGCGTGACTGCTGTCTCTGGAGATCGGAACTGTGGGTTCACGATGTCGATTTGGCCCTAGTGCGTGTTGGAGAAGCATGGATCGGCATACGAGGCGAAAGGTCGCTGGGTTTAGGGTGTTGCATTCGTTGAGGATCAGGCAGGGTTTATCATTGAGCCGCGACTCCCTAAAAGTTGGGGGAGGGCAGCGCAAGGCTGCAAAGCCGTACGCTTCGGCCGCCTGCTCAAGCGTCTCAAAGAAGCCCTGTCTCTCGTAGACGGTGACAAGGACACGCGGTGGGTGGGCAGATGCATAACGAGGTGCTTGGCAATTTCTAGTAAACAAGAGCGCGAAGATGTCAACGTACTGGACGTGCCACACACTGGCGCGGTGCTCACATCCCACCCAGCCTCAGAGACCATTGCATTTGAAGACGCAGCCCCTGGAGGAGGAGGAGGAGGAGGAGGAGGAGGAGGAGGAGGAGGAGGAGGAGGAGGAGGAGGAGGGAGGAGGAGGAGGAGGGAGGAGGACGAGGAGGAGGAGGAGGAGGAGGAGGAGAAGGGGGGAGGGAGGGAGGGAGGGAGGGAGGAGGGAGGAGGGAGGAGGGAGGGAGGAGGGAGCAGGGAGGAGCAGCGAGCAGCACTCTGGAGGAGCGGCAGGCAGGAGGAGCGGCAGGAGGAGCGCGAGGCGGCCTTTGGGGAGGAGCGAACGCGACGTCGCCTTCGGAGCGTCCGGGGCCGCCGGGGGGCGCGATCGGCGGCCCCCTGCGGAGCAGCGCGCCGCCCTCGAGCTGGCGCCCCGTTCGCGGAGCGTGGCGCGAACCAGACAGGGCAGGTTTTGATGAATAGGATGTTTAATACATTGGATTTTTAATGCATGATTAATTTACTACTGAGCCAATGCATAAATTCAGCATTGGTTTGATTTCTGGATCCCTTTGTTTTGAATACATGATCCGCACGCGGAGCATGTATTAAAAACGGCATTGCAGTCCTAGGATCGAGCGTGGAGGGCGCAGAGCAGCCGCGAGGGCGGATCGCGTCCCGCGCCACATGTGGAATGGCAGATCGCGGAAGGCAAGGAACTCGTTCCCTTCGGCCGCGCGCGCGGGATGCGGCCCGCGCCGCATTCATGGCGATGTGCACCGCACCACCTTTGTAGTGGATGATCGGGATAGGCAAGGGATCCTTTCGTCCGCGCGCGCGGGATGTGGCCCGCGCCACATGTTCAATAAAGGATCGTGCGAGTTTAGGAATCAGCTTCGCATGGGGATGTTCACCGCACCTCATGTTTTTGGAAGATCGGGAAGAGTTTAGGCTTCGCTCCCTAGGGGCGAAAACCGAGGGAAGCGCTTCTGTTTAGGATTAAAATAAACATGGACAAATCATGTGTAGGATAGGGTCGGTGGGGTAGGGTCGGGTAGGGTAGGGTGGCATGGGGTCAGGTAGGATAGGTAGGGTAAGGTCTAGGGTCTGACCAGGGTGAGCTGGAGACCATCATGCAGGGGAGCGGACAAGCACAGAATCAGAAACAGAACAACTCGGAGGTCCGCGCGGATTCCTCGGATCGGCGCTGGGGCCCCCTGGCCCGGCGCGCCCCGCGAGGCAGAGAAGGGAGTCCAGCGGTCTAGCGCCGATCCGGGACTTCCGCGTGGATCTCAGAGCGTTTTATGCTTGTCACTGTTGGTTCCCCGAATATGGCCTTGCCAGGTTGCAAGGGGCAGCGGTTGTCAGAGTGGGGCTCGCGGGAAACCGCGGTGGCAGCGGGGATGCAAAATGCACACCGCGCTGAAGCGCGTCGAATGTCTGACGGGGCCTGGCCTTGGTGGTGGAAACGACTGCCTGACTGGAGCGAGAATGTGTCAACGCAGGTGTGCCAGCTCGAACTTGGCGGCGCGTGGAAGGGGGTAGAGGGAGGGGGGAAGGCTTCTCAGAAGGAGGCTCCTTCTTAAAGGCACCAGCCTTACATCTACAGATAAGGTCCACCCCTTCCAGAAAGCACGGGTGATTCTAAGAAACCCTCCCCCCCTCCCCCACACCTCCCCCTGCGCGCGGCTGGCACGCGGCAAGAGCTGCCACCGAAGTGGCGGGGGGGGGGCCACCGCGCTGGTAGAATCCTGCGGCCGGCAGCAGGGCCTGGCGCACACAGCGCATGCCCGCGATGGCGCGCCGGCGGTTCTCGTTCTGAACAAAACACTGTGCTAGGGCTCCCAACTTCGCGCTTCGCGCTGCGCGAAGCGCGAAGCGCGAATAACTTCGCGCTCTCGCGCCGCCCTCCCAAAGGGAGAATAGGAGGACGAGGAGGAGGGGGAGAAGGAACGAGGACCGCGAAGCGCGAAGCGCGAATAACTTCGCGCCCTCGAGGGAGCCCTTGCTGTGGTATCCACTCCTTGTCCTCCCCCCTCCTCCTGCCTCCTCCTGCGCTGCTCCCCTGGAGGTGGCGAGCTGCGAAGCTGGTCGCCATGCTCGTGGGCTCCCGGGAGGTCCAGCGGAGTGGACTGGCGCGCGGACCCCTCGGGGACTTCGCGCTGCTCCCTGGGAGGCTACGAGCTGCGCAACTGTCGCCACTTTCGTGGGCTCCTGGGAGGTCCAGCGGAGTGGAGCTCCACGCAGATGGACCTCGCTGCTCCCTGGGCGGCTGCGAACTGCGCAGCTGTGGCCACTGTCTTGGGCTCCTGCGAGGTCCAATGGGGTCGGGGGCCACGCGAGGCCACGCGGACCTGTTCGGGACCATGGCCCCCGTGAGGATTTTCTTCGCGCTGTCTGTGCTCCACGCATGAAGGGGCCCCAGGACACACCAAGAAATACACACAAATAAAAAGATTCCCCATATTTTCCCATATTTTCTCGATTTCTGTTTTCCCCCCCCCACTGCCCATAATTTCCGATATTTTCTGAGAATCGACGCTTTATTGTGTCTGTGTGTCTTCCCCTCCTGAACGCAACCGACCGACCCAAGCCCCCCAGAAGCGAGGCCTGCTGCCTCCCAGTGGCCGCATCGTGCACGCGGCATGTCTTGTCTTTGGATGCCCGAAATGAGTACGGAAAGAATGGGCACAATGCCCAACAACAAATGTTGTCCCAAACAAACAGCGGCCGCTGTTGGGCAGGCGGCCTCCTGTCTCAAATGGACACAGGCCGCGGCGACACCGACAGCGAGTCCTGTTCAGACTGAACAGGAACTGCTGTTGGGCATTGCACCCATTCTTTCAGTACCCATGTCGGGCGTCCAAATTGTCTCTGCGGCCCGTCACGATCTTCGCGCCGTCTGGGCGTCACGCAACCAAACCAAGGAGACCGGGTCCCCATGCGGCAGCGGGGCCTCCTCCCTTCACGTGGCCGCGTCGAGCACGCGGCACTTCTTGTCACCGCAGCCCGTGAGGATCTTCGCGCTTTCCGGGCTCCACGCTACGGAAAAGACATCGCCCCCGTGCGGCAGCCTCCTCTCTTGACGCGGCCGCGTCGAACACGCGGCACTTCTTGCCCTCGCAACCCGTGAATTCGTTTTGAGAACCGGTATTTTTCGCACCTGTAGTGGGTTATGCCGCGTCTGCCAGTGAAATCCTCAGGTCCGCAGCTACAGTATTGCTATCAAAACACTTGAAGCAACCGACTTTGGATGAAAACCAAAGAACGTGTTTTTCTTGTTTTTCAGCTCACGCTTCAGGGAAGGACCTTCGCGCCGTCCGGGCGGCACGCCACCGGCTCGCCCAAGCCCCCCCCGCGCGGCAGCCACGCCCTCTCCGCAACCGTGGCCACCGGCGGGAGAGCGCCCCTGCGCGGGGCCACGGGCACGGGCAGAAGCGGAGCCCCGGCGGCGCGGCCCGCTGCCTCTGCCTCGGGCTCGGCTCTGGACACGACGGCATACCCGTCCAGAGCCGAAGGCGCCCGCGCCCCCAGAGCGAGGGCCCCGCGCCGACGATGCCGCCCTCGCCGCCGCCCCCGACACCGGCAGGCCCGAAGATGCCGCCTGCGCTGGCGGCCGCTGACTCGCGGAAGGTGCCGCCCGCCGCCCCGCGGGCGAGCTCTGCGGCGCGGCGATGGGGCCCAACAGGCCGTCACCGAGCGCGCCCTCGCCGCTGCTCGGGCCCGGCGTCGAAGAGACGCCGCTGCGGGTGCCGGCGCCGCCTGCGCCGAAGATGCTGCCCTCCGCTGGCTGGGCGGCGCCGCCAGAGGTGCCGCCAGCCGCCGCCGCGCCGCGCGAGCCCAGAGCCGCGGCGGGGAGCCGCGGCGGGCTCGCTGCCGAAGCTGCTGGCGCCCGCGCGGCCGCGCCGCCCGAGCCGCCAGAGGCGTCGGCAGGCCCGGCGGCGGAGGCCGCGGGCGCGCCGAAGGTACCGGCAGCGCCGCCGCCCGAGCCCTCTGCGGCGGCCTGGGCTGGGGCTCCCACCGCGCCGCCCGCGGCCGCGCGGGCCGTGGCAGAGGCCCTCTCCGCCAGCACAGCCGTCGCGTCCGCGATGAGGCGGCGCAGCAGTGCGCCGCCGAGGGCCTCCAGGTCGCAGCGCTCCATCGCCGCGGCGCTGCCGCCGCCCAGCGGGGCGCGCTCTGGCGGCCGCAGCAGCAACGGGGCCGCCAGCCGGCCCGGAGCGCGAGGGGCCCTGCTCGAGCCAGAAGGGCTTGAGCCAAAAGGCTACGGAAGTCCACGTGCACATGCACACGACCAGCTTGTTGCCGTTCGTGCTGCGGTCGTGCTCGCCGTCAGCTTCCCTTCCATGGCTCACTCTGGCTCAACGTGACTAGCGCCTACGTCGCGAAACAACCATATAGCCTTCACTGGGACACCATTGCAGCGCTGCGTCGATGAAGCAACAGTTGACGCGTTTCGGACATGTGGCCCTCCATCTGCGCAGCAAGCCTTTTTCGTCGGCCTGCGCCGTGGAGCTGGTGCGCAGCTAAACTGAATTCCCTGGCTGAATTCATTACGACTCCCAGTGATTCTGGGTGGTAGCGACGATCCGACACAATGCCTACGGCACGTTGGGGGTATATGAGAATACCTTATACGTGCTAAAAGTCTAGCGCGGTATATTCATGGCGACCCCCCTCACTCGCGCCCTCCTCTTCGACTAACCATCGCTCTGCACAGTGCTGAGACGGTCCCAAAGTCCGCTGCGCTGTGCCCCACGGTCAGTTCAAGACCGCCCAAAAGCCCTTCAGCTGCCCCATGCTGCCCCAATTAACCCTCAGGGGACGCCCACGGAGCTCTCTGACAAGGCCCTCGGAAGCCCAAGACAAAAACCATGTTTTAATATGGTTTGGCTCCTGAGCTTGACGGTCTTAGCCAGCCTCAGGGCTGCGTCAGAGAGCTCCAAGATGACCCCGATGGCCGAGGAGTGCCCCAGACGACCCAAGAGAGCCCGATTGCATCGCGAGAGCTTCCAGAGACATCCAAGACGGATTCTACTGAGCCTCTTTGGGAAAACACGGCAGAGCAATCGCACGCAAGACAACAGGGCCGGGAGATAGCCACCTTCAAGAAGCCTCGCGGAGAGGGTCCCGAGGGCGCCCAAGTGGCCCGAGCATGGCCCCAAGGAAGCTTCCAAGAGGCCCCCAACAAGCCTTCAAGAAACAGCGCAACGACCGTGCAACGTAAAGTTCACGCCACGCTGAGACATCCTAGCGCTGTTTACAAGACGGCCCTGAAATAGTTATACCGAGATCGTTTGGGAGGGCTCGCCAGAGCCATCCTGCATGCAATTCTGTGCTGCGCTGGAGTGGTGACGGGGCATGCCGCAGGTAGCCGGATAACTCTATGAGCATGCAAGGAAAAAAACAAAGCCGCCTAACCACAGATACGCAGACACTGCGCAGCTCTCACGGCGCCGCACCGAACCGCTTCTCTCGAGGGGAGTGACTTCCTCTGCTTCTCCTGCTCTGCGGGGACATCGACGAGGTACTTATAGGAGTGTAACGCCTCCCATGTCTCCCTTTGCCTCGCTGCCGCCGCTCTCCAGAGGAGAAGAGCCCAAACCGAACATAGGACATAGGTGAGCGAAGTGTTCGGAATGTTCGGCCTAAACATACGCCAAGCACGAGCAGCACTCTGTGACGAGAATGTCTGGATACAGGTTCTGGGAGGAGCCCAGAGGAGATTCGGGCGATGCGCACTTCTTCGGTCAGAGGAGAAAGTCCCATCGCGACAACCAGAGTCTTGAGGCGTAAAAGAAGCACTCGTGATCCAGCCCGCAGCAAAGAGTCACCAGCCTTCGAGGCTGTGTTCACGTCGTGCGCGTGAAGCTGCGGCCGAGGTGCTCTGCTTCGCAATTCGCCGCCGGCGCCTGGAGGTCCGGGTCTCTGGAAGCTCCCAGGGGTCCCCGGGCGTCGCAGGAGCTCCCTGTAGGGCCTGTAGGGTCCTCCAGAGGCCTGGGAGGTACCGGATGCGTCCGACATTCTAGATCCTCCTCCTGCTCCTCTGAAGGGGCCCCGGGACACACAAATAAATACACACAAATAAGAATATTCCCAATATTTTCCCATAGTTTCTGGGTTTCTGTCTTCCCCCCCCGCTTCCTATATTTTCCCATATTTTCCTCGGAATCGACGACTAATTGTGTCTGTGTGTTTTTTCCTCTCCTGATCCTCGTCCTCCTCCTCGTCCTCCTCCTCCCCCTCCTCCTGATCCTCGTCCTCCTCGTCCTCGTCCTCCTCCTCCTCCTCCTCCTCCTCCTCCCCCTCCTCCCCCTCCTCCTCCTCCTCCTCCATGGGGTACTCTGTCTGGCGAGATTCTCGGTGCCGCGCCTCGGCCGCGGGCCGGCCAACGCCGCGGGCGCGGGCCCCCCCCCACGGGCGGATCTCGCGCCGCGGGCCCCCTGGCGCGGCCACAGTCAAAAACCCTTATAAGCAACGCCTTCGGCGAAGAATGTATCGATCTACATTGCAATCCTCCTACAAACGTGCTCAAAATCCCTCTGTCGCGCACCCCCCTCCCACGCCCAACAATTGAGGGAAAAAGCATCTCCGCCGCGACAACGACGACGACGATTACAACTACGACCACGACTACGATTCCGACTACGACTACGACGACAACCACGAGTGCGATCACGACTACAATCGCGACTGCAATCACGATTACAACCACAACCACTGATTCCCACAGTCAAAGACCCTAATAAGGACGCGCGGTAGGGACGCAAGACCCTTGGAAGCCGAAGTTGGGATTTCTGGGGCGGCGGACGACGAAAACCTCAAGGGCGCAAGGGCAGAGAAGAGCAAGGACGCAGGGGTACCCTGAGCAGAGTCGCGAGTCCTCATTAGGGTTTTTGACTGTAGGGCGGGCGGCTCCCTGCGCGGCGTGTGCCGCGCGGCGCGTGCGCCTGGGGGGCGAAGACAGGAAATGACTCGAGGCTCGGACGTCCATTCCCTGTTTTTTGTTTTGGTGTCGTGCGTGGTTTTTGTCCGCCGAATGATCGAGGATGCTCCTCGATGTGGTCCTCGCCGAAGGAAGACTGCACACGTCCGAGCGATGCCTAGGGAAATGACTCGAGGCTCGAGGACAGGAGGCCGACTGCAGAACTGATGTGCCCAAAGCCTGCGTGCCCGTCGAGTCCACCGCAGAATCCGTAAGAGCTTCGCAGATCTACGAATATGCCGCGCGTGTTCTGTGGACTCGAGGGGACATGGACTTTGGGGGTGAATCAACGGCGTGATCTGTCTCCTACTCGAAGGATCGAGGATGAAAGGTGCCTGATGGTGCTTGGGCCTCCGAAGCCTCCCCTCCAGGGGGCCTTCGGGGACCTCTAGGAGCACGGGTGCGAGACGATACGTTCAGTACTGCAGGGGCGAGATTAGCTACCCGTGCGGGCACGAATGGGATGCGGATGCGACTTCCGAATGAAATTGCGAATCAGTGCGGATGCGAAGATGGATCGGGGAGAAATAAGACTCGGGTTCGGGGGACTCGGGTTGGCTTGACGGGGCCATCATGAAAATGATCAGGACCCAATCTGTCCCGCTGCAAAAAAAACACGAAGCGCGCTCGTCAACAAGCGTCGGCAAACCCGAGTTCCAGCGCACTCCAGTCTTAGGTTTCCCCGAATCAATGAAGGACTGCCCAATAGAACGCAAACGCGATTGCACGACGGAGAGCGTGTTATTGGAAAGAGATCGAAGTCAAAAGCACGAACACACATGCGAACAGAAGAGGAATATGTACAGTAGACGCGTGCGAAAAGACATGCTGATGTAAGCAATCCAGGGGCACATTCTTCGTCGATGTTTGAAGGTCCTGAGGTGCTCCAGGGCTTCTACGAGCCCCGAGGGATTAGGAATTTGCGCGGGGCATCTGCGGGCAGAACGATTCTTTGAATTGACGTGCCTGCTGTGCTCCCCCTGCCTGGACGAACAAAACAACGGCATAAACATAAACCTGTCGCGCCTCCGGCGCCGCCCCTGGCGCGCTCCGCGCGCCAGGGAGGGGGGTCCAGCGCGGGTCCAAGAAATCCGCGCGGAGCGCCAAAAGTTCATGTTTACGGCCTTTTTACTTCTTCGGGTGATAGAACCTGGCCCTGCTGTCGCTCAGGCGGGCCTTCCACGACCCGTCCTGGCCCGTACCCCGAAACTGCCGAGGAGACCGCGCCGCGCCGGAGCCGACGGCTCGGGCTGCCCAGACCTCCGACTGCTGCGGTCCTCGTGCTACCATTGGGAAGCCCAGAGGTCCAACGCATCGAAAGGAGCAAGGTGGGCAGTTCCTCGACTCTCGGCCTCGAGGGGCCCTGGCCGTGCCCCCGGGACGGTCAGAGGAGGACTCGGGATGAAACACCCGTGCTGGGGAATGCAGGTCGAGACTTCCAGGGGCCCCGCATCACTGAAAGAAAAAAAAATAGCCTGGCGAAGGACCCAAGCATATGCAGTTGAGAGTACCGCAATTGTGAATATCTTCTTCGGTGGCGCTCCCTATGGGGCCACGAGCCGTATGAGGGGTGTGCCGAAATGCGTGGCAGTGTACACAACACGAACGAAGACGATAGGTCCGAATATGAAAGCTTGAGCGCGTGCGAGTCGGATCGCGAGCGAGTCTGATTATGAATGAATCTGCGCGCGATTGATTCTATTCGCATGAATGCGTGCATGGATACGCCCAGTGTAAATGTATGTATACGACTGTGAACAGTTTGGGTCTGCGTGACTCTCGGTACTCGTGACTCTGAGCGTCGCCTCTGCAGGGGGCTTCCCTGGGAACCCCGACGGCAGCGCCCGCGCGCCGCGACGCCCATGTCGGCACGCCACACACCTGGTGTGCGGGACGCATGCGGACGGCAGCACTGGGGCCTTCGGTGGAGCTCCCTGTGGGGCCACGAAACGTGTGAGGGGTGTGCCGAAATGGGTGTGCGGGACGCATGCGGACGGCAGCCATGGGGCCTTCGGTGGAGCTCCCTATGGGGCCACGAAACGTGTGAGGGGTGTGCCGAAATGGGTGTGCGGGACGCATGCGGACGGCAGCACTGGGGCCTTCGGTGGAGCTCCCTGTGGGGCCACGAAACGTGTGAGGGGTGTGCCGAAATGGGTGTGCGGGACGCATGCGGACGGCAGCCATGGGGCCTTCGGGGAGCCACGAAACGTGTGAGGGGTGTGCCGAAATGGGTGTGCGGGACGCATGCGGACGGCAGCCATGGGGCCTTCGGTGGAGCTCCCTGTGGGGCCACGAAACGTGTGAGGGGTGTGCCGAAATGGGTGTGCGGGACGCATGCGGACGGCAGCACTGGGGCCTTCGGTGGAGCTCCCTGTGGGGCCACGAAACGTGTGAGGGGTGTGCCGAAATGGGTGTGCGGGACGCATGCGGACGGCAGCCATGGGGCCTTCGGTGGAGCTCCCTATGGGGCCACGAAACGTGTGAGGGGTGTGCCGAAATGGGTGTGCGGGACGCATGCGGTTCGGTGGAGCTGGGGCCACGAAACGTGTGAGGGGTGTGCCGAAATGGGTCGGGACGCATGCGGACGGCTCCCTGTGGGGCCACGAAACGTGTGAGGGGTGTGCCGAAATGGGTGTGCGGGACGCTGAACGAAACGTGTGAGGGGTGTGCCGAAATGGGTGTGCGGGACGCATGCGGACGGCAGCCTGGGGCCTTCGGTGGAGCTCCCTATGGGGCCACGAAACGTGTGAGGGGTGTGCCGAAATGGGTGTGCGGGACGCATGCGGACGGCAGCCATGGGGCCTTCGGTGGAGCTCCCTGTGGGGCCACGAAACGTGTGAGGGGTGTGCCGAAATGGGTGTGCGGGACGCATGCGGACGGCAGCACTGGGGCCTTCGGTGGAGCTCCCTGTGGGGCCACGAAACGTGTGAGGGGTGTGCCGAAATGGGTGTGCGGGACGCATGCGGACGGCAGCCATGGGGCCTTCGGTGGAGCTCCCTATGGGGCCACGAAACGTGTGAGGGGTGTGCCGAAATGGGTGTGCGGGACGCATGCGGACGGCAGCACTGGGGCCTTCGGTGGAGCTCCCTGTGGGGCCACGAAACGTGTGAGGGGTGTGCCGAAATGGGTGTGCGGGACGCATGCGGACGGCAGCCATGGGGCCTTCGGTGGAGCTCCCTATGGGGCCACGAAACGTGTGAGGGGTGTGCCGAAATGGGTGTGCGGGACGCATGCGGACGGCAGCACTGGGGCCTTCGGTGGAGCTCCCTGTGGGGCCACGAAACGTGTGAGGGGTGTGCCGAAATGGGTGTGCGGGACGCATGCGGACGGCAGCACTGGGGCCTTCGGTGGAGCTCCCTGTGGGGCCACGAAACGTGTGAGGGGTGTGCCGAAATGGGTGTGCGGGACGCATGCGGACGGCAGCCATGGGGCCTTCGGTGGAGCTCCCTATGGGGCCACGAAACGTGTGAGGGGTGTGCCGAAATGGGTGTGCGGGACGCATGCGGACGGCAGCATGGGGCCTTCGGTGGAGCTCCCTATGGGGCCACGAAACGTGTGAGCCGAAATGGGTGTGCGTGTGGGGCCAGGGGTGTGAGGGGTGTGGGTGTGCGGTGGGTTCGGTGGAGCTCCCTATGGGACGCCGAAATGGGTGTGCGGGACGCATGCGGACGGCAGCCATGGGGCCTTCGGTGGAGCTCCCTATGGGGCCACGAAACGTGTGAGGGGTGTGCCGAAATGGAGGGCGAGGAGGGGGAGGAGGAGGAGGAGAGGAGGTGGGACGCGGGGCGCTGTCTCTTCAAAACGAGGACCCAACACCACAGGATGGTTGGGAAAAACACGACCTTAGATCTCCGGGAACGCTGGAGAAGAAACGAAGACGCTTTTCTAGCCGCGGTGAGCCGCGGGTTTTGGGTTTAGGGTTTAGGGTTTAGGGCCACGGACAGGTTCCCCCGACCTGCATCTCGGGAGCGACCCGACCACCAGAGCCCCCTCCTGGGCCCCGAGAGGTCCTCAGGTCAGCCACTCGACTGCGGATGTTTTGGAGCCGTCGGCCCCATGAAACTCTCGAGCCCCTCCCAGGGGCTGGCCTCTCATCGCATCGCGTCGCTTGTTGACGGAGAGCTGTCTGAACTGTCACGGGGCACTTTCACTCCTCGTGAAGCGCACCCGGAAGCCTGCTCTGTGAGGCTGCGGCCGAAAACCCATGATCGACGACCCTGGGCCCTGTAAACCCAGACATCCAGCCGCTCCAATTTTGTCGATGCGTGGGCCCTGGAGGTCTGGACCACTTCCCTGGGGCCGGAGTTTCGTTCTGAGTCTTCTTTTGACGGTCCCGAGGCCCAGCGAGGGCCCCCGGAGGCAGAAAATAGGCCCAAACCCGCCGCTCCAATTTTCCTGGAGCGTCGGATCTCCGGGAACCTATGTTTGACGGCCCTGGGGCCCCTGACGCCGAAGACAGCGACGGCCCTGACGCTCTCTGAGACCCGCCAGATCTCAGAGAGCCCCGGCCAAGAGATCCGACGCCCTTCAAAAATTGCAGCGGCGGGTTTGGGGCTATTTTCGGCCTCTGGGGGGCCTCGCTGGGCCTCGGGACCGTCAAAGAACGACTCAGGACGAGAGAAGTCCAGACCTCCGGGGTCGACGCATCGAAAAATTTGAAGCGGCTGGATGTCTGGGTATCAATCGTCAGACATCATCTGTAACCGCGCCATCTGTTCTCGACGCGCCCGAAGTGGACGACGCCGACACCACGGCAAGCCCATGGTAAACCCTGCGTCCCGCGCCCCAAGTAGACGAAGCTGGCACCGCGGCAAGCCCCACGGCAAGGCTACCGCGTCCGAGGTGGAGCTCGCCCCATGTGGCCGAGGCGCCCTCCCCACGACGGAAGGGCGCGCGTCGGAACCAGACGGCGCGGCCAACATCTGATGTTCGCGGCATGGGCCCCCCCCTGTACCTCTCAGTCACTCAGCCTGGGTACTGCTTTTTCCACCCCGAGCGACTCTCAAGCCTGGGGGCCCGAGACGGGCCTCCCCTAGCCGAAACCCGAGTGACGAATTGCAGCCCATGTCTGGGCCCCTACGTCGGGGCTCTCGAGCCAAGCAGGGTTCTTCGTTGTCGCTCTGTCTTCGCTTCCATTCGTTCTGGCTTCGTTAGGCCTTTGCTGCGAAACAATATGAAGACGGCCCACGAAATCGCCCAAACACCGTTTACAGTCAACCCGCATCGTAGAAGGACGCACGACAAGGATGCGAGGGCCTTGGAAGGCCATCTCGAAGCTTTGCGAGCGGGGCGCGGCCAGCGAGGGGGGCCAAGGACGGACCGAGAAGGCAAGGTTGCAAGGGTACCCTTGCCCATCCTCACTGTACAGGTTGACTGTAGCTCGAGCCCTGCCCAACGCATTCCTTCGGCGGACGAAGGAGGAGAATGAGGAGGAGGAGGAGGAGGAGGAGGAGGAGGAGGAGGAGAAGGAGAAGGGGGAGGAGGAGGAGGAGGAGGAGGAGGAGGAGGAGGAGGAGGAGGAGGACGAGGAGGAGGAGGACCGTCGGCGGACGCGACGACGCTCTCCAGGAGGGCCTGCCACGCACTCGCGCCCCCCACCAACTCGCAGGAGGCTGGAGGGGGGGGGGCCCTGGGCCCCCAGCTGGCCGCGGGCGGCATGCACACTGGGCACCAACAGGCTCAAAGACAAAGGCTGTCCGAGGCGGCGGCGAAGCCGAGAAGAAGACGAAGCCCGGACGAGGACAACATCGGGTGAGGATGAATCGAGGATCTCTGAGATCGGGCGGCTCTGGAGGATTTCTCGGGCGCCGCGCCCTTCTCAGAGCGTTCTGGAACGCTCTGAGAGCGTTCCGGAACGCTCTGGAACGGATTTATCCTCGTCCTGGCCCCGCCCGAGAAAACCTACCGAACTGACAGCGAAGCCGAGACCGACCAAAGTCCAGAGGCCGCAGGCAGCCCAAAACAGGGCGCAGCGGCGCGGCAACGACACGGTGGCCGGCCGAGCCGGACCGACCCCGAACCCACCGAACCGCGAGCGCCCCTGACCCCGAAGGAGCCCCTCCTCTCTGCTCCTCCCGGCGAAGCAGCCCTCCCTCGGCATCAGGGCCCCGTAAAACCGGACACGCTAGGCCAGGACATACGACATCCCTCGAACCAACAAGTGTTCCAGAGTGCGGCACGAGAAAAGCTGCACTTGAAGGGGCCCTGGGACACACAAATAAATATACACAAATAAAAATATTCCCCATATTTTTCCATATTTTCTGGGTTTTTGGCTTCCCCCCCACTTCCCATATTTTCCCATATTTTCTGGGAAATCGACGATTAATTGTGTCTGTGTGTTTTTTCCCCTCCTGAGCACTGTAGCACTCCTGGAGAAGCCCCGGCACAGGCCCTACAGAAGCCTGCGCACCTCCCCGCAGCGCCGGGCCAAGACCCGAATCCTGCAGGGCAGCAGAAAACAAACAACTTCATTGGGACGATCGAAACTGACCTGGCAGGACAGGGTGTGGGTTCCCCGACTTGCCAATGTCTTGGTTGGTCTGTGCCCTGGCCTCTGGGGGCCTGACACCCACCTCTGCTTTCGCCGCCGGCCCCGCCCCGCCCTTGCTTCGGCGGGGGCTCGTGCGGCTCGCGCAGCCCCTGCCTGGCGTGGAAGTGCCACGCGTCCTCGGCTTCGAACGGGGCGCGCCCGGCCGAAGCGTGCGCTGCGGCTGCATCCCCAGATCTCCAGCGACATGGTTGTTTCAATCACTGAGTGTTTCCTCGATTGCGGCCTCAGGGGGCCGTTACCGAGCCCAGGGGTCTATCTAGCTAGCTAGCCCTTGGGAAGGGGTCTGGACCTCTGGGGCCTGGGAGTGAAACGAACAGATCGGAGGATGTCTGGGTCTTTCTTTCTTTCTTTCTCTCTCTCTCTCTCTCTCTCCTCTCTTTTCTATCCCTCCCTCTCTCTCTCTCTCTTTATCACCCTCTCTCTCCCTCTCCCTCTCCCTCTCCCTCTCTCTCTCTCTCTTTCTCTGTCCGTCTCCCACACGCCTCACACACAGAACCTGCTACAGCCGCTCTAGATAGAAACACAAATGGGCATGGCACCTGCGTCTCTTTCGTTCCATGGCTGATTGTACCTTCGGGTGTGATTCCAGTCGAATGCGCTTACTAAGTGCCCAAGGCCAACCCAGAGACCTCGGGAATAACACATCGAACGAACATCTAGAAAGGCAAAGCAACCTCCACCAGTACTGTCAGACCCTTACAGAAAGGAGCTCCCATGCCTCCATATATCCGCCGCCGTACCTTCGGGCATGGAGTGGGCGTGTCCTCAGATCCCTTGCTGCAGTCCTCAGCCCTCTGGATTAAGGGTTACCAAATTTCCTGGGGTGTGGGGCTGCTTGTCGCGTAACTTTTTCGGGCCCAAGAGGGCCCAGGCGGGCCAAGATGGCCTCAAGAGGCCCCCAAGACAGTCCGAGAGAGGGCCCCGGGTCGCCGAACGATCGGTCCAAGACGCCCAAGATGGCTCCAGACAGCCCAAGAAGCTTCAAAGACGCCCCAAGAGGCCTCCCAACAAGGCCCCAAGAGGCAAAACTCATGGACTTCCCTTTCGGTTTTTGAGGGATTAGGGCGTTCTCGCCTTTTCGTCTTCCCGACGCTCCAAGACGGCCCAAGGGGCGCCCAAGATGGCCCCAAGACGGCCCAAGAGGCCTCCAATAGAGTCCGAAAGTGGTTCGAGAGGGCCCAGACGGCCCAAGAGACGTCGTCGTCGTCGTCGCCGTCGTCCTCTGGCTTTCCTCGTCGTCGTCGTCGTCGTCCTCTTTGGCGTCGTCGTCGTTTCCGTCGTCGTTGTCGCCATGGTCGTCCCTCCTCCTTCCTCGTCGTCGTCGTCGTCCGTCGTCGGCGTCTCGTCGTCGTCCCTCTTATTTCGGCGACGGCGTCGTCGTCGTCGTCGTCGTCGTCTTCCCTCCTCCCTCGTCGTTGTCGTCGTCGGCGTCGCCGTCCTCCCTCCTTCTTCGTCGTTCGCGTCGTTGCCGCCCTCCCACCTCCCTCGTCGTTGTCGTCGTTGTCGCCGTCGTCGTCCTCCCTCCTCCCTCGTCGTCGTCTTCGTTGGCGACGCCGTCGTCGTCGTCGTCGTCGTCGTCGTCGTCGTCGTCGTCGTCCTCGTCGTCGGCGTCGTCGTCGTCGTCGGCGTCGGCGTCGGCGTCGTCGGCGTCATCGTCGTCGTCGTCGGCGTCAGCGTCGCCGCCTTCGTCGTCGTCGGTGTCGTCGTCGTCGTCGTCTTGTCGTCGTCGTCTTTGTCGTCGTCGTCGAAGTCGTCGGAGTCGTCGTCGGTGTCGTCGTAGTCGTCGGAGTCGTCGTCGGCGTCGGTGTCAAGTGCCATTTGGCACCTACCGTACGGTCTTATCAGGTCTTGCGACCAAGTTGCGGGTGGGAGGGTGGGATGTTTGCACGATCAGTGGAGATGGCAACTTCAAGACAATCAAGGTGAGTTGCACCACATAGATTGCACCGCAGCTGTGCCACCAGATATATTGCAACTAGATTGCCTCACATGTGTTGCTCATCGTAAACTGCCAGAAACACACTGCCTGGAACCCGCGATGGCTAACATTTATTCAGATTCATATGTTTGTTCAAGGCCGGGGGCCCCAGAGAAAACGCCCCCCCCTGAGGACCTCGGAAAAACGCACCCCCACCCCCCACCCAACGAATTTGGCACACCCTGGGCCTCTCGGGCAACCCTCCAGACGACCCAGGAGAGCCCCACGAGAGCCCGAAAACTGCCCCAAAGAGCTCCAGGCGTTCCCGCGCGCTCCCGAAACGACCCCAGAGAACCCCAAGACGGTCCACGACGACCCCAAAGAAGCTGTCATACCTCCCAGTATCGCTCCGAAACGTCCCAAGAGGCCTCCAAGAACACTCCGAAGAAGGCCCCGAGCAGCACTATTCATTGATTGTATTTAGTTTTTGTTTGTGAAATTGGGGGTGTTCCTTGTTTTCGGCTTCCCGACACTCCAAAACCACGGTTTTCTGGGCGTCCGAAGCCGCCTGGGAGGCTCGAAAATCGCCCCGCAACCATCCGAAAGGGCTTCCAGGCAGTCCAAGAAATCCGCAAGACGGCACAACAGGGTTCCAAGAGGGCCTCAAAGAGCTGCATGACGGCCCCAAATGGCCCCAAGACGCCCTCCAAAACATTCCAAATCGCGATCAGGCCGTCCAAGGAGACCGTGTTTGGAGGCAGAGTGGCCCGAGGAAGCTCCCAAGGGCCCCCAGAGGACGCCCAGGAGGCCTCTAGAGGGCATCGAGGAAACTTGAAAACAACTTATCTGAAGCTCCCAGAGGCTCGACAAGGAGGAGCCTCCGCACAACAAAAACTGAAGAGGGTGGGGAGAATGCGCAGTGTATGGCGAGAATGAGGAACAAGAAAATTCAAGGACGACGAGTCACAACAATTATAACGGCGACGCAGGAAAAGGCAACAAGACAGTATCGCTCAATTGTCAGTTCGGCCTTCTCCCCATTCCGCCTGTATACCGAACTTCAAGGATCAAGGTGCATGGCGCGAAGCGCCAATGCAGTCTTACATATACATATATATATATATATATATATGTATATATAGCCATACACCTATGTCGGCAAACTATGTACTGCGTGTGGATGAGAATCAATGGCTGGCGCTCAAGTCTAAAGACCTGGTAGACAAGCGGCCGCGTGGCCACAAAGGACGCCACGTGCCAGCCACATGCCAGCCCGCAGACCCACACGGCTCGTCACCCCCGGACAGCCTTCCCGCCCGAACGGCGGTCCACTTGGAAAATGCAAGAACGCGCAGCTTTCGGAGAGGGGGGAGGCTAGCACCCGAGCGGCTCGCACGACGTGAGCCGACGGTCGCCAAAAAGGGCTGCGCCCTGCCTCCCCGAGAGCCAGACGACACCAGGCTCCGGGGCTCTCCCTGCCGGCAGCGTATCCGCGGGTCCCCCGGCCGGACCCGAAGCAGACCTCTGCCAAGCGCGCCCCGAACTTTTTATAGTCCGCGGCCGCAGGAGGATCGGGGACGGCGGTCGGGCAGCGGCGGGGAGGCGCGCCGAAGCACGGCGAGGCACGGGGGAGAAGAGAAGGCGCCGAGGCGCGAGGGGGGCGAGAGGGGCCAGGGGGGGGGCGAGGGGCCAGGGGGCCAGGGGGCGAGGGGGCCAGCGGGCGAGGGGGCCAGGGAGGCCAGGGAGGCCAGGGGGGCGAGGAGGGCCAGGGAGGGGCCAGGGGGGGCGAGGGAGCCCACACTCAGACCGCCCGACCACTTCCTGAAACCATCAGCAGAGATCGGCAACAGAAGCTGTGCAGCCTCGGGCGCTCTCCTAAGTTGCCCTCGTCCAGAAGCCATCCGAGGCGCTCGCGGCCCCTCGTTCCTTCGGCTCGGTCCACAACAAGTGCAACTCAAAACCGACAGCGGCCGCTGTTGGGCAGGTGGCTTCTCGGCTTCAGTGCACAGCGCCCGCGGCGGCGCGGACGGCGAGCCCTGGTCAACATGAAAAGGAGCTGCTGTCGGGCATCGTACCCACTCTTTCCGTACCTATTTCGGCCGCCCCGAGCCTGGCCATCGCTCGGACGTCCATTCCCTGTTTTTTTGGGGGTTTCGTGCGTGGCTTTTGCGCCAAATGATCAAGGATGCTCCTCGATGGTCCTCGCCCAAGGAAACATGCACACGTCCGAGCGATGCCAAGGAGCGGTCATGGGCTTCGCGCCGTGGGCTGCCTCTTCTGAGAGCCCATGGGGCCCAGCACGGGCCCCGAGAGGGCGCTCGACCTGGCACGCCCGCGCCAGCACCGCCGCCGCTGTGCCGAGGCGGCGGTCACCTGCCAGAGGCTCCCGGAAGTCTCTGGAGGTCCCTCCTCCTCCTCCTCCTCCTCCTCCTCCTCCTCCTCCTGCCTCCCGCCTCCTCCTCCTCCTCGTCCTCCTGCCTCCTCGTCCTCCTCCTCCTCGTCCTCCTCCTCCTCGTCCTCCTCCTCCCCGTCCTCCTGCCTCCCGCCTCCTCCTCCTCCTCCTCCTCCTCCTCGTCCTCCTCCTCGTCCTCCTGTCTCCCGCCTCCTCCTCGTCCTCCTCCTCGTCCTCGTCTTCCTCCTCCTCCTCCTCCTCCTCCTCCTCCTGCTCCTCCTCCTCCTCCTCCTCCTCCTCCTCCAGGAGGCCTCCGCGGAGGTCCCGTGCGAGCCAAGGATCGGCGGCGAGCGAGGCGGGGAAGTGAGAAGGAGAAGGCCTTCCCAGAAGGCGGCGGGGCTTCTCAGAAGCGCTCCGGCCTCCTGAGAAGTTCTCTGTGTCTTCGGGGAAGGCTTAGACAACTTCTCAGAAGGCCGGGGGGCTTCCGAGCCTTCTGAGAAGGCCCGCCAGCGCCGCCTCTTCACACTTCCCCGCCGGGCTCGCCGCCGACAGGAAGCAAGGCTCGAGCTGAACAGCGCTTTCCGTTCCCGTGCTGTCTTCGTTCTCCTCCGTTCTGTCTTCGTCCTGCCTCTGGCTGCGCGGCGGGATCGAGGCGAAGACCGGCCCACGGCATCGCACAGACACCGTTGAGCTGCTCGAGGCCTGGTCTCTGGAGGTCCTCGGGAGGCCCCCGCGGGGGCCGCCAGAGTGAAGGGGCCCAAGGACACACAAATAAATACACACTAATAACAGGATTCGCAATGTTTGTTTCATATTTTGGATTTTCGTCTTCCCCCCCCACTTCCCCTATTTTCCCATATTTTCCTGGGAACCGACGATTAGTTGTGTCTGTGTGCTTTTTCCCCTCCTGACAGAGGCCTCCAGCGGCTCTCGACCCTCGATCCTCCCAGAGCCCCGACGCCCCGGACACACTGCAGCGGCGGGTTTGTCGGGTCGGGCGAAAGGGGGGGAGAAAGGGGGTTTGAGAACGGAGTTGGGTACGCCCGAAATGGGTACGCTTCCTCCTTGGACCAAAGCTCTAGTTCGGGCGTCCAGCACCATGGAGGAGCTCCCTTTGGATCTCCATGGAGGAGCTCCATTTCGGGCGTCAAGCACCAAGGCGTACCCTGATTCTCAAACCCCCTTTCCGGGCGAAAAGGGGTTTGAGAATCAGCTCACGTAGCTGATTTTCCTGGCGCCTCCCGGCGCCGGAGGCGGCCATGTGTCGAGGAATGGGCCCCTCGGTGAGGCCGAAACCCGCTGCATGCAGCAAATTTCGTCACCCCCCCTTTCCCAATCCCCCCCTTTCGCCCGGCCCGAGTTTGGGGCTGTGTTCGGCCTCCGGGGGCCCTCGCCGGGCCTCGCCGGGACCGTCAACAAAACGGCTTGGGACGAGAAACCGGCCCTCAGTACGGGGAAGTGGTCCAGACCTAGATCTGGGGCCCGCGCACCAAGAAATTGGAGCGGCAGGATCCCTGGGGAAGCATCCAGAGGTCTCCAGCGGTCCTCGACCCTCGATCCCCAGCCCTTCGCTGACCTACGCTGTTTTGGGCGTGTCGCAGCACGACCCTGATGGGTACTCAGTCGGCCCAGGCTCGGACCGACGCAGGAAATTGACGCGCTCCTGCCATTTTCCTGCGCCATCCCCCGCGAAATCGGCGCGTTCCTGTAACTTCCCCGCGTGCTTCGCATCCCCTTTCGGGTACCCAGCTCGGTGGCACTGACCCTCGATCCAGACTCCTCGCTGACCCTCACTGCGCGGTCCTCTCGGGACTCGTGCAGCGCTGCCCCACGCCGCTGCGGGTAGTCCTCCTCTTGCCAGGCCAAGCGCCGTGCCTCCAAGAACGTGTACAGCAGCGCCACGGACGCAACCCCGGAGACAATCGCACCACCCTGAGCAGCAGATGGAGGAGGACGCGGATCGAGGATCGAGGATCTAGGATTGAGGAGGACACGGATCGAGGATCGAGGACCTAGCCTTGGAGGACCCAGACTTGCCGACGCCTTCCTCTGGACTTCTGGGAGAAGTGTCTGGTCGCCCCGGCTGGATCATGTCCGCCCTGACATTCTGGCCAGAGCTCACCCCCCTGGACGAGCCCACAGGGAGCACTCTTTTTGACCCCCACCTGCGCGACCTCCAGCGTCTTGCACAAATCTCGGGGAACGAAGAATGGCATAAACATACAAAAACAAAAACTCTGAGGTCCGCGCGGATTCGAGCTGGACCCCCCTGGCGGCGCCTCGGGCGCAGGGAGGGGGGTCCAGCGCTGATCTGAGAAATCCACGCGGACCTCAGAGTTGTATGTTTATGTCATTCTTCGTTCCCCTAAATTCAACGCTACGTTTTCCGACTTTCAACCCTGGCGTGCTGGTTCGGCACTCTGGGGACCGTGGACAAAAGCGGCCCAGCGTATGAAACGCTTGTCAACAGGACGGGGTTCGCCCCTCTGGGGGCCCGGCACCAGAACAAAAAACACGACGTCGGGAGTCTGAAGAGGTTGGCGCAGGAGAGGAAAGGAGAGGAGAGGAGAGGAGAGGAGAGGAGAGGAGAGGAGAGCAGAGAGGAAAGGAGAGGAGATGGGCCTCCCGGGGGAGTCTCACGGCCACGGCTCGGCGCAGCTCGAAGATCAGAGGAGGAACAGGCACCGATGCCGCTGCCTTTTCCCCGCTTCCTCGTCTAGGGGGCCTCCTGGGAGGCCCTCGTCGCAGGAGGGGTCCAGGGAGCAGCGGCATCGGCACCCTTTGCTTTCTCCAGAAGAGCTGGTCAGGATTGTGCCCAGGAGGGGTGGTCCGGGGACCGGCTCCCATCGAACACTGGAAGAGAGGTCGAACCCGGGCCACCCACTCGCCATCCCTCGGATGTCCATTCCCCATGCACTGTGAGGTTTTGTGCGTGCAGGATGGCCCGACGTGCTCCTCGATGGCCCCCGCCGGGAGCAAAAGGCGCACGTCCGAGCGATGCCGAGACCCGTGGCCACGACCTGCTCACGAGCCGAGACGAGCACCTCGTCTTCTGGGCCTCGGCCTCTCGCGGGCTGCTCTCTCTGGGTCCTGCCTGGGGCATCCGGACAGAAGCAGCGCGCGGCGCAAACAGCTGGCCGAGAGCTCTTCGGAACGCGGCGTCGGAGGGCTCGGAAGGATGGGTTGGCCCTCGATGTCTGCCGAAAAGACTGGTCCTGAGCGTGCCGACTCAGGGGGCCCAGCGCGGAGGGCCGACGAGGAGGAGGGGAGGGGGAGAAGGTAGGGAAAAGGGGGAGGGGAGGGGGGGAGGAAGAGAATAATGGAAGAAACGGAGTAGGAGAAGATGTGAGGAAGGGGGACAGGAGGAGGGGGAGGAGGAAGAGGAGGAGGAGGAGGAAGGGGAGGAGGCGAGGAGGAGGAGGAGGAGGAGGAAGAAGAGGAACCTTACAAACCCACCGCCCATCAACGATGTTGCAATGAACCCTCCCTCCGTCGGTCCCTACACGGGCCCATACCCACTAAGAGAAGGGGGCCTTGGAAAACAACCGTGTGAACATCCTGAATTGCGCCAGGCACAACACGACTCTTCGGACGTCAACTCTACGAATCAACCTTACTGTTATATATCGACGATACTGGATCGTGCCAAAACGCCATTCCCCGCGCATCAACAGAACTTCTGCGCCCTGGCAGACCGACATGTCGCTAAAACACAGTTTCTGGGACGTGAACCATGAGAACCCTTGAACGCCTTGCATTTCTTAAAGCGGATTTGCGAGCCGCCACAGCGGGAACCACATGTTTAAACATAACCGCCCTCCATACGTGAAACTGCGGCAAATGTTTAGGACGAGTGTGCGTGTCGCTACGGCGAGAACCATATGTTGGACACACACACACCGCCCTCAGTCCGTGAAACTGTTGCACGTTAGTTAAAGCGAGCGTGCGCGGCGCTCAAGCGAGAGTCACATTTTGAAAACGGACATCCCTCAATCCGTGAGGCTCTTATCCGTTCGCAGTGTAAGTTTCAGGATCATAAATGGTGAGGAAGTCTCAGGCGAAACGCCTCGCCCGCCAATCTGACCCGCCGCGGGGTGCGACAGGGAGGAGTTACTTAGAAGGAGAAGGAATGGAGAAGGAATGGAAGAGGAAGAGGAGGAGGAGGAGGAGGAGGAGGAAGAGAAGGAGGAGGAGGAGGAGGAGGAGGAGGAACAGGAAGAGGAAGAGGAGGAGGATAGTAATTAATAATGAGAAAAATAATGTAGGGATGAGGAGACGGAGGAGCGGAGCGGTTGCGGGTCCCAAGGTTTGATTTGGACTTGCCCCCGCCCAGTAGGAATGGAACGGAACGTGCTAGTGCCCGCGCGTGGGGCGGGCCTGGAAGGCTGGCGCGGGCGGGCTGGAGCCCTCAGCTGCTACGGCCGGAGCCGGCGGACTGAGAGGCTGCGCGTGGCGCGGGCGTGCTGCTTTTTACCTAGACTTAGGTTGGGCATGTTTTCCGACAAGCGGATTTTGGAAGAACCAAACAACATAGTAACACAATCATCAGCAACAGTCAACAGAGCACGAACCGTCGTCACCCGACAATTTTTGGACTACTCTCGCACATTCCTTCTGTAGGGGGGCATGCCCGACTGAAACCTAGACCGTTCCATTTCTTACTACCTTGGGCTACGATGGGAGCATTTGTTTTCTCTCTTCGCGGCCGAGGCCTTGTAAATTCGCATGCAACGCTAGGCCCGCGCACGGCCCAATGCCGACACCGCTCGCGCGAGGCGAAACGCCGCCCCACGGGCTCAGTCGGCCTCCGCCCACTCGGCCTCCGCGCTCTCGGCCTCCGCGCCCTCGGCCTCCGCGCCCTCGGCCTACGCGCCCTCTGCCTCCTCGCCCTCGGCCTCCGCGCGCTCGGCCTCCGCGCCCTCGGCCTCCGCGCTCTCGGCCTCCGCGCCCTCGGCCTCTGCGCCCTCGGCCTCTGCGCCCTCGGCCTCCGCGCTCTCGGCCTCCACGCACTCGGCCTCGGCGCGCTCGGCCTCGGCGCCCTCGGCCTCGGCGCCCTCGGCCTCGGCGCCCTCGGCCTCCGCGACCCTCATGGGCCGCCACCCGAGCGGGCAGCCCCCCGTAGCCATCTCCCAAGCGCCCGCGCCGCGCGCGCCCGGGCCAGCTTGAGCCAAAATGGCTACGGACGATGGGAGCATAGGACAAGGAACCCTTAGACAAGGAACGCAGGGTCTGGAAGCCGGTGGAACTCCAATCGTGGATCGGCCATGGACACCACCCCCACCCTCGTCGGATAAGGAATCCTCCAGGGTCTAAGGCCTCCTGGGCACATTCCTTAACGAACGCCCCCCCCGTACTACGAGCCAGCGTTAAGCGCTCCGCTCCAACAGCGTGGCTGATGTCCTAAGCAGTGCAATACCAGATGCATCCATCTGCCTACAGTTTCTGCTGGCCTCCTCATCTGCGGAGTACTCGGTGTTGCACGGAGGAAAAGACAAGGAGGAGGAGAAGGAAGAGGATATGTGGGGACAATCACGAGGAGGAGGAGTGCGTGGTGCAGGACGGAGAAAACAACGAGAAGGAGGAGGAAGAGAAGATGGGAAGGAAAACCACAAGGAAGAAGAGGAGGAGGAGGAGGAGGAGGAGGAGGAGCAGGAGGAGCCACTTGCCCAACTCCATGGAATCTCACGGGGTCCCCGACACGACACGAGGTGTGGTCGCCAAGGGAGGCCTCTTGGGCCATTGTGGGGTGGTCTTCGGAGCCTCTTGGGCCGTCTTGGAGTGTCGGAAAGCCGAAACTGCGAGAACGCCGACCTCTTTTCGAACACCTACGGGAAATCAGTGCTTTGCTTGCCTCTTGGGGCCCTCTGGGGTGGCCTCTTGGAGGCCTCTTGGGGCATCTTGGAGGCTTCGGGCGGCGCCGCTGCAGCAGCTCCCCTGCGTTTGGCCATCGTAGAATCCAGAGGCCCAACTTGGTCAACAAAACACCAACACATCAAAACAAGACCGAGGCCTTTCGCGCAATGTTCGGCCTCTAGGGACCCTCGCCGGGACTCGGGACCGTCAACAAAACGACTCAGGATGAAGAATTGGTCGAGACTTCGAGGGGCCTCGTATGGAAAAGCAGCACGACGCCGGATCTCTGGGACCCCCCGCGAGCCCGCAATCCTGACCCCTCCAGGAGGGTGAGGCCGCTTAGGATTGCGTGCTGCTCTCTCTCGCTCTCTCTCTCTCTCTCTTGTTCTGTCTCTATCTCTCTCTCACTCTCCTCCCCCCAGGAACATAACCCAATCCCGGGAAGTGGACCGAGGTCCCCGAATGTCTCCTGCCTTCCCCTTGCTCCTTCCCCTCGTGCTGCTACTCCTCCCCGTGCTGCTGCTGCTGCTGTTGCTGCTGCTGCTGCTGCTGCTGCTCCTCGCCCCTTCTTCTCCCTCCCCTTCCTCGTTCCTCCTCCTCGTCCGCCTGCGTTTCTGTGCCGACAGGCTCGTCGCCTCAAGCGGCAATCCGAGCATGCTGGTCTCTGGAGCTCCCCGCAGGTCCCCGCGAGGCTCCACGGCGGGCCTCTGCGGCGGCGGACGGCACTGGCAACGGCGGGCGGCGAGAGCACCAGCGGCGCGCAGTGAGAACCCTTCCGCGGCGACTCCCGGGAGCCTCCCACTGTCATCTGGCCGGCCCTTGCGAACCGACGCTGGCCGACGCCTATCGACGCTAGATCGACGCTAGATCGACGCCACATCGACGCTGAACTCGCGCCCTCACGGAGAGTACGAGGCGCTGGCGCTCTCTGGAGACGGAACTGCGAGGACACGCAGGGCCCTCATGAGCTGCTTGCTGCTGGAGAGCCCAGACGCTGGAGGATCGAGGCCTTCGGGCGACCTTCGCCGTTTCCCGGCACGCCGCGCCGTCCGTCGCGGGCGGCTTCTGGGCGAGGGCGCCTCCTGTGCCCCGCGCCGCAGGCGGGGAGAGCGCATGCCCCCCCTCACGTCAGGCGCGGGGGTCGAAGCGCATGCGCGTGTCCATGTCGTCCAGGTGCATGATGATGACCCGAACCCCCTCGACGAGGGAGACCACGCAGAGCACCATCGCGGCGATGGGCTCCGCCTTCCAGGACCACTCCTTCTGGTAGGAGGCGCCGACTCCGAGGACGAAGAGGAAGGTCAGGCTGATCACCGAAACAACGAAGCCGTGCCAGATCAGCTGCCTCCTCAACTTGCGCGCGAACACCAGGCGGATCACCGCGGTCAACACGTACACGGAGAAGCCATACCAAGCAAGGAACTCCATGACGAACTGGGCCTCCCTGTCAAACTCCGCGTGGTCCAAATACCACTTGTTCCAGAACTTGAACTTGCGTGCAGCCTTGAACAGCAGGCCAGCCGCGCTGATCAGCATAACGCACCCCATGGTGACGTTGAGAGCCTGCTCCCGGTGCAGCTGTTTTCTGCGCGTCGTTCTCAGCAACACCTCGGCTGCCTCCGCCGCGCTGGCGGTACTGGTGTCGGCCACGGTGCCCTCCGACAGGAAGCGCAGGGCGAGCGTCAGCGAGGAGATCCAGTGGGATATGGACTGCACTGCGAGGCAGTAGAGGGACACCCCGCTGTCCTTGTACCCGTAGCCCAGGGCGACTGCGGCGATGACGGCGCTCATCACCACGTCCACGCCCGAGCACGCCGCGAGGCACAGGCTCCAGCGCCGCTCCTGCGCGCTCGGCATCTCCACCGGGCCGGGCAGGAACTCCTCGTCGTCCGAGCCCGTCGCGCTGGAGACGGGCGGGCTGTTGCGCTGGCGCAGGCCGGCTCGGCTGGGGCCCGGGTCGGACGCGCCGACGATGCGCGGCTCGACATCGTTGAGCTCCACCTCGCGTGCCATGGCAGCAACAGGCTCCTGCGGGCGCGCGACGGCCCGCCCCGGGTTCCGGCTGCGGCCCCCGAGCACCAGGGCTACCGACCCGCACGTCCGACGCCACAGCAGCTGCGATCGCGCTGGCGAGTCCGATGTCTCAGCCCTGATCGTCTCGGTGTCTCACTGGGAGATGAAGCTCTCTCGAGTTGTGGACAGCAGAGCCAGGACGGTCCCAGGGCCCAAAATTGGCCCAACGTTGAGAAACTCGCCGTCGCGATTTTTCGTGACGGCGGAAGACGAAGGAAGAAGAGGTCTCGGTTCTGCGCGGCGTCCCAGGTTAACAGATTGCGCTTTGACCTAGAGCTGCTGCGCCGCCTGGGAAGGTTGGTTTCTCGATGACCGTGCGCAGGCTGTCGTGTCGAGCTGGCAACGAGTCTGTCGTCAATTGGACGTACGTCCCTCATGAGCTCATCTGCGCATCCTCCTGTGGCTCCTTCGTCACAACAAGATCGCAGCGGCCATGTTTCCTCCGACTGGGCCTCTCGAGGCCCTTTCCGAGACCCAACAACATCGGCTCGGGATGGAAAGCCGGCCCCGGGTGGAGGGCCGAGAAGAGAGGAACAAAAAACGGCATAGACATAAACATTCGCCAGTCCGCGCGGATTTCTTGGATCCCTGCTGGAACCCCCCTCCCTGGCGCGCGGAGCGCGCCGGGGGCGGCGCCGGAGGCGTCGCCAGGGTGCCCCAGCGCGGATCCAAGAAATCCGCGCGGAGCGCCAAAACGTTTGTGCGTATGTCTGCTTTGTTTCTCCAAGAGAGACCGGCAGAGGCCCTAAGACTGAAAACCCAGGACGTCGGAGGTTTGGGTCCTCTGCGCATCCCGCCCTAGAACCCTGGCGGCCCCCGCTTCTGGCGTTGGGTTGGGCATGTCCTCCGACAGGCGGAGCCTGCACGACAAACAGAAAGTAGTCAAAGGATGCTCGAAAGTGGTCAGAACAGCATCTGGCCATCGCTCGGACGTCCATTCTCTGTGTTTTTTGTCGGTTTCGTGCGTGGTTTTTTCGCCAAATGATCAAGGATGCTCCTCGATGGTCCTCGCCGAAGGAAGAACGCACACGTCCGAGCGATGCCAAGGCATGAAAAGTCGCCCCCAGGCCATCTTGAGGTCGTTCTTGAACGTTCCTACTGTAGAGGGACATGCCCGGCGTGCTTCTCGAGTGCGCCCCGCCGCTCGATCTTCGGGTCGGGCGAAAGGGGGGGATAGCAAAGGGGGGGTTTGAGAATCAGCTCACGTAGCTGATTTTCCTGGCGCCTCCCGGCGCCGGGAGCGGCCATGTATCGAGGAATGGGCACCTCGGTGAGGCCGAAACCAGCTGCATGCAGCAGATTTCGTAACCCCCCCTTTCCCAATCTCCCCCTTTCGCCCGCCGCTCGAGATCCAGGGGCGGGGGGCCCTCTCGGCAGTGCACGGGCACGCCCGCCGGCGCCTGCAGCGCAGAGCTGGCCCAGCCGGCGGGCCGCGGGCACGGAGCGCCCCTGCGGGCCTTCGTGCCTGTCCCTCCACAGGAGGAGTATTCAAAAGTAGTTTCAAAATGGTCCGGTGACTATTTTCTTACTATTTCTATGAAGGGGCCCACAGACACACAAATAAATACACACAAATAAAATGATCCCCCATATTTTCCCATATTTTCTGGGCTTTTGTCTTCCCCCCACTTCCCATATTTTCCAATATTTTCTGGGGAATCGACGATTAATTGTGTCTGTGTGTTTTTTCCCCTCCTGATTCTAAGCATTCGGGGAGCATTTTTTTCGTACTCTTAATGTTTCGCCCCAAGTCCGCCTGTAGGGGCTAATCGGGGGCAGCTATAGGCAATTTGACCGACGTGCAAAAGAGGGGGGAAGGGGGGGGAAGGGGGGGGCGGCCGCGCGGGGGGAGGAGGAGAGAGGCGCACAGAAGCGGAAGACTTCCGCGGTGAGCGGGCGGGGGCGGCCAGCCAGGGCCGCGAGGTCGCGGCAGCAGCCTAGCCGCGCACACCCTTCCCTGAGATCTGACGTTGCAAACATGAACCTGGCGCGACCCCAATTAAGGGAACGCATACTGCATGGGCACATCGCTTGGCATCGCTTGGCATCCCTTGGCACGGGTTGTCACTGGTTGGCATTGCTTGGCATGGGTTGGCATTGCTTGGCATCGCTTTGCATGGGTTGGCATTGCTTGGCATTGCTTAGCATTGCTTGGCACTGCCGAACCCGAGGAACCCGACAAACGCGGGGAGCCGAGGAACGCGGGGAACCCGAGGAACCCGAGGAACCCGACAAACCCAAGGAGCCCGAGGAGCCTGGGGAACCCGAGGAAACCGAGGAACCCGGGGAACCCGAGGAACCCGAGGAACCCGAGGAGCCTGAGGAAACCAGGGAACCCGAGGAACCTGGGGAACCTCCAAGGAACCGAGGCACCAACCTTTAACCAAGTAAGAAACCCTTAGGCAAGCCTAATTGAGGAAAAATGCAACATCGCAAAAAATCACGACCAAACCCCCGGACCCAATCTTTCTGCGTCATTTTTGGAGCCGGATCGATCTGAGAGGGTCCCGGGGCCCGAACCTGAGCGAACAAAACCGGCGCGAAAAGATCAAATCGCTAGGATCGCAGGGTTGGAAGGGCAGGGACTCCCACGCCCACGCGCGGCGACGCGGCGCCCCGACGCGGCGGCCCGCCAGCGCGGTACGCCGCGCTGGCACGAGAGCGCTCCGCGCGCGTGTCGCCCTGTGCTGGCAGCGCGGGGATGTCCGCACAGTCGAGGAGTCACTTCGTTTTCCCCTCGCAGGCGTCAGCATGCTTGTGTTGGCCCTGCGGCCGGTGCGCGTGCCGTTCGCTCCACGAACCGAGTGCAGACAGGGCACGGAGCAGAGCCACCGATGCCGAGGAAGAAGTGCGAAAGCGTTGAGCGCGCATCCCCTCGTGATCCGACCGATCAGTCGTATGTCGCCGCGCCGTCTGTCCTCGACGCGCCCACATGGACGACGCCGACACCACGGTCAACCCAAGGCAACCCCTGCGCCCCGCCCCCGAGTGGACGAAGCCGGCACCGCGGCAAAACTACAGCAAACCGCGGCGCCCTCACCAAGGCGCGAAGCCGCGCGTCGGAACAAACGGCGCGGCGACATATAATCTGGCATTACACAGCTGCAGTCGAGGAGCCGCGAGGGTTCCATCTGTTACTTTGTGCCGCTCATCTGGCGTCCCCGTCCCATGGCGGGCCGTCGGGTCGGGGATCAACCTGGCGGCGTGCACCAGGGGGTGGCGCGAGGGGGGTGGCCCTTCTAAAGAGGCAGGGGGGGCCTACTTAGAAGGCATGGGCCCTCTCAGAAGCCTTCGCGGCGTCTAGGAAGGCCCAAGAGGTTTCGGAGAAGGCTTCTTGGAAGCCGGGAGCACGTCTGAGAGGGCCCCTGCCCTCTAAGGAGCCCGCCTGCCTTCTCAGAGCACCCCTTGCGCCACCCCCTGGTGCACGCCGCCGAGAGAGCGGCCACGATGGCGGAGAGGTATTGGGAGGATCGGGTCGGTCGAAAGGAGGGGAAATAAATAGGTGGAAACGAATCAGCTCACGCAGCTGGTTTTCCTTTCGCCTCCCGGAGTCATAGGCGCCCGTGTAGAGAAAGGAAAGCGCCCAGAGGCGGGGTTGAGAACGCTGCTCAACAACGACTGTTGTCCGCAACCGACAACGACCGCTGTCGGGGCAGCCAACGTTTTTTCATAGATTGACAAAGTCCGCGGCGACACTCACAACGAAACCTGTTTAGATGGGCAAGAACGGCTATGCCGTTATTCCCGCAACTCACGAACGACGAATCTGTAAGTATTCGCGCCCGAATATATACCCGCGGTCTGGATTCCGGGGGTGCAATCCCGCAGATACGCGGGATCGCACGCGCACACTCCACGCGGAGCCTCCGCGAACAAAAAAAACGCCCCGTGTCCGCAGGGTCGCGGCCCAGGCGCCCGGCCCGCGAGGCCGCGGAAACAGATATTACAAGAAGAAAAACGTTTGGCGCTCCGCGCGTATGTCAAGAGTCTTGGGTCCGCGCTGGACCCCCCTCCCTGGCGCGCGGAGCGCGCTAGGGGCGGCGCCGGAGGCGCCGCCAAGGGGGCCCGGCGCGGACCCAAGACATCCGCGCGGAGCGCCCAAAGTTTGTGTGTATGGCGTTTTTTCTCATTCGAGAGACGTTGGTCGCCCCACGAGTGCCGAGGTCGATCGTGCCGAGAGGGCGGGAGGGAGGCAGCGCGCGCGGCGCAGGCCGCTGGGGCCCTGGCCGCGACCATCGTGCCCGCGGAGCTGCGCCACGCGGGCAGGTCCTGCGCGCGGTCGCGCGGGCGTGGCGCGCCCGGACGGCCACAGCATGGTGCTGCTGCGGCTTTCGCGCAGGAGCTCGGCAGAACCGTCGCGCCCAAGACGGCTCCGATGCCTCGAGCAGGCCCCCCCCCCAAGGCCCCCGAGAGGCTTCTGGGAGGCTCCCAAGTCGCTACAAAGAAGGAGGCCCCAGAGAAGCATCCAATAGACCTCCAAGTAGCTCCCAAGTCGTAGAACACGAAACGTGCACCGTTGCGGCTATGCCACGCTACAAGATTGTAGAGCCGCTTCCTAGACGCCCGCAAGAATGTCACACGGAGGCTGTTTCAGATACCCCAGTCGAACAACCGCGAATTTCGATGCTGCGCTAGAACGGCGACGGGCTTGCCGCAGGCAGCTGAACATCTAAAGCCATATGCTCAGATGCTGTTATGACTCTGTGCCCATGATCAGATTTCTGAACGCCTTCTCCGCCACATCACAAATATGTGGTGTTGCTTGGTCTGTGTTGTCCCCGGTCCTTTGGAAATGGAGCTCGTCGCCTTGCAGGTGACAGCTGCTGGCGCTTCCAAGTGCGGTCGTTCTGGATGCCGTTGCGGGCCTCAAAACGATGCTGGAGATGATTGTGGAGCTAACCGTGATGCCACTGTGTGCCCTGCGTTTGTTCGCACGGTTTTGCTCATGGTACCAGAGCTGGCCCCTGCCGAGGATGCTATTGTGGTGATGGATGCTATTGCGGAGCTGAACATGATGAAGCAGCTTGCACGGCCGCTTGTCAACATGAGTCTGGGGCTTCATGTTAAGTTTACAACTGGCATGCGGGTCAGCATGGGAGTCCAAATCGTAGAAATACACGCTGTACTCCTGGTACATGATGCTGTCTCAGTGGCACGGCTGCCGATGATATCAAGTGATATGGCGGCCAACCTAGGGCAAGGCTCCTTCCAGACGCTGCGAACAAAACCTCCCCAAGCAACAATCGAAATATAGAAATACACATCCGTGCCTATGACCTGTTGGCCAGATCCGATGATCAGTAGGCAGGTGGTACATGACGTGCGGCTGTAGGAAACTGATTTCGTTCCCCAAGCGTCATAAGGTCGCGCTTTGCGATGAGGTAGCACTGCAATGGATGTTACAGAGGTGCTCTTCCTTGAGCAGTGCGCAGCGTTCCACGGCTTATGGTAATGCTGCTTGGTAGTGTTGTAACTGACGTTTATGTTCTATGCGCTGGCACTTGCGAAACTGATTACTCGTGTTGCCACTGGCCCTGCCACATACCCGTTTGCGCTGCAGTCCGCCTCAAGGCCAACGGTAATCTGTGCGTGTTGCAATGCGCGCAGGGGGGTGACGGGATGTCAAAGTAAGATTGGACACATTGTGAATGCTGGCGCGGTCTGTTGCTCTGCCCTTTCGGCCTCCGAGTGCTTCGAGGATTTGCCGGAGAGCTCGACGAGCGCCCCAGTGGGCTCCCAAGATGGTCTTCGTGCGTTGCAGAGGCGCCTCTAAGTTCGTCAGCCAAACCATTTAACGCCTCATCTGAGCGCTGAAAACTGGGACGAGGGCTTCCGCCTCGCCACGAGTGAGCGCCCTGCCTACCAGGTAACGCCTGGCCCTGAGTTTAGAGCACATCGCCCCCAAGATAGCCCTACTACAACTACCGCAAGAAGATTCCAAGAAGGCCCGAGGACCGACCGAGGAGTCCCAGGTGGCTCAAGGTCGGCTCGAGGACTTGGACTGGTGGCCTCAATGCATCTCTACTGGGCCTTACCAGGCCTCTTCGGGAAAACCCAAAGAACCAGCGGGCCAAAGATTGCCCAAGCACGTCCTGGAAGCCTGCGGAATCTCTGTATAGGATTGTGAGCTAGCGAGCTCCGAGCGTGACGAACATGCTCGCGAGCTCCGGGCGTGACGCCAGCCCCGCGCACCGCGAACGCCCTGCCCGAGGTTACATGTTTCGAATCCTTGCCAACATTTTCTCTGGGACCCGGTTTATAAACTGGGCCCGCCTCCTGGCAGGAGAGCCCAGAATCGAAGCGACAAGTCGAATCGGCGATCGAAACTAATCGGATCGGCGGAAATCGGCAGCCGAGTCGGCAAGAGTCGAATCGGCAGACATCGGCAGGCAAGCAGGCCCCCATTGGGAAGTCGGATCCCGGATCGGAGTCCGAAGCCGAATCGACTCGGAATCGGAACCCATCGAAGTCGAATCGAATCGAATCGGGGGAATCGAAATGAGTCCTGTGTCCTGGACCCTCTCCTCCTCGACCCTCCGCAGGAGACTGTCCGGCGGCACGCCCCGCGGCTGACTGCCCACAGGGGGCGCAGGTTAATGTGGGACCCGCGCCACCTCTCCCGCCCCTCCTCTCCTCGCGCCCGCCGCCCCGGAGACGCCCCTTCCCTGCCCGCTCCGTCCGTCCCGGATTCCCCCCCCCATCCTGCACATCCTCCTCCTCGCTCCTCCTCCACCTTCTCCCCCTCCTCCTCTTCGCTCCTCCTCCTCGCTCCTCCTCCTCCTCGCTAATTCTCCTCCTCCTCCTCCTCCTCCTCCTCCTCCTCCTCCTCCTCGCTCCTCCTCCTCCTCCTCCTCCTCCTCCTCCTCCTCCCTCCTCCCTCTCCTCCTCCTCCACCTCCTCCTCCTCTCCTCCTCCTCCTCCTCCTCCTCCTCCTCCTCCTCCTCCTCGCTCCTCCCTCGCTCCTCCTCCTCCTCCGCTCACCTCCTCCTCCTCCTCCTCGCTCCTCCTCCTCTCCTCCTCCTCCTCCTCCTCCTCCTCCTCCTCCTCGCTCCTCCTCCTCGCTCACCCTCCTCCTCCTCCTCCTCCTCCTCCTCCTCCTCCTCTGCTGGAGCCGTCGCGGCTGGGTGGGGGAATGAAAACCAATGGTCCCCATTCGGCGGCGAGCCCAGGGGGGGAAATTGGGAAGGGGCGGGCCTTCTCAGAAGGCTCGGAAGCCCCCCCCGATCTTCTGAGTTTTCGAAGCCTCCCCCAAAGGCGCAAACATCTCTCAGAAGGCGCGAGGGCTTCCGCCCTCTGAGAAGGCCTTCTCCTTCTCACTTCCCGCCCTCGCTCTCCGCCGACCCGTGGAAGGCCACCCTCTCCCCCACTGGACCAGCTGCCGACCAGGAACATCGCGGGCACCCCAACCACCTCTTGCGCAAGAGCCGTCCCTATCACCTTTGACGTCGCAGCGCGGCAGAGGCAGCCCGCACGCGCGCGCAAGCGGCCGGTCCAAGTAACATGTGTCGGCAAAGTCTGACTGTGGGGGGACTGCTGACCATTCCACTTCCAATTTGCAGCGGCTTTTGATTGACAGGAGTCCGGTGTGTGTGTGTGTGCCATCACGTGCGCTGGCGCGCCTGGCGCATTCTGCGCGCGCCTCGCACCTGGCACACCTAGGGCGGCTGGAGCATGTGGCACACGTGGCGCATGTGGGGCACGCGGCGCATCCGACGCAACAGGCGCGCTTGGCACGCTTGGGCCCCCAGGATACCTGGCGCACCTAGTGCGCGTGGCGCACCTGGCACGCGTGGCACACCTCGCGAGGGTCGCGTTCATAGCACTTCTATTGGTTCCCGATGGCTTTCCATCCGATGGCGACCTCTGCCTATGCGGAACATGCAGCTCAAATTGTGGGAGGGCGGGTAGGAATGAGCGAGACAGCCTGTGGCGTTCCCGTTGGGAACCAAACCCACGCCCCACCACCCTACCACTCCTCCATGCGAAGAGGCAGAACCTCGCTTCCCTTTCCGCCTTGAGAGAGCAGAGCTGCACTAACCCGAAGCACTCGACCCGAACCCTGACCGTAACCCCAAAACTACCCCGCACACCTTACCCCGAGCCCATCAATCCTTTCCTTACCGTATATCCTGACACTACCCCCAAGAGCTAACCCGAATACCCGAATCCTGGCCTTCAACCCAAACCTACCAATAAACAATATTCTAAACACCCTGGACCTAAGATGATAGCCGCAACCATTCTAGCAACACGCAACCCTAAACCCGAACCCATCATACTGATCCAATGACATGCTGCCACTACACACATCGTACCCGTAACACCCCGGACATGTCCCCAGACCCTAACAGTCTAGCCAAAGCACCCTAACGTCCACCACAAATTCTACCCTATATTTACCAAAAGTGAACGAGAACCCTAACATTACTCATCTCAATCTGACACGCTAGCTCTATCACCCTAGCTGTAGCCACTCGGATCGTTACTCCAAGCACAGAGCCCTGACCCTTCATACTACTCCAACCATAGCGGCATAAACCGAACTTTAAGACTGAACCTGCCACCCGGAAAACAATACCACCCTGACCACGAACTGTAATAGTCGATCCGTACGTCTATAACCGTATAGATATACATCCCTTTCAATCACACCTGGCGGGTCCCAGACCGGGTCCAAACAATCCCTGGCCACAACCCCTGTTTAAGATCTTCTGCAACAGGAAAAGAGAGACGCGGTGCACATCGGTCGGCCGTAGGATCGTTTCATCTTGAGCACCATATAATGAAGCAGATACTCTGGTGCACCGAACTGTACGATCCCTTGCAACGCCATATAGTTTTGTTAGCATAAAATGATTATCACATCGGCCGAACACTCACCATCCCGTGCAAATGATACCTTTCGGTGCACATCTGCTGATCCGTACAACCATTCAATGCTCACGATTCTTTGCGGAATTTGCAATTTAATGGACACTGGATGACCATCACAGCGGCCCAACACCCACCACCCTATCCGAACAAATCGGCGCGAATCTGTTCATTTGCGTGGCATTCCAACCTTCAAGATCCTTTGCAACGAACATCATGTGACAGCGCACTCACAAATCTCCCAGACTTTCCAAGGCAGTCCCAGGCGCTCCCAGACGTTCCGATCGCTCCCCAAACGCTCCCAAACTTCACTGTTTCACCGTCCTCGTCGCCGCATGAGGCGTCAAGAAGCAGGTGGATCATAT